GTCACCCCAAGATCACAGGCACTTACGCTTGCCTTCCTCATAGAGCCAGCAATACTCACCATGGCTACAGGCTATACTGTAGATAACGAGATAAAAAATGCACAATTTCCTTTTTTAATGAGTTGCACATTAATTTGTTCTTAGTCATCCTTGACCTTCCAAGTATGAGAGACGCGCTGGACAATTTTGCATAATTCTCGAAACTGTCTTGGTAGATGGACAAAAACCTCGACTCTTTATTTTACGTGGAAAATATGCTTAGACTTACGGCACTGGTAAAATTAAGGAAAGAATTGAAATACAAATTACATCTAAAATTAAGATAAATAGATAAATTTTCTTTGCCATCGCTTTCTATCCGTACTTGTTTGTTGTATGTATAACAGTAAAAAAAATCTTAACACAAAGAGTAAACTATGTTGCTAAGACAAATGACTGATATAGCATGTAACAATGAAGATACAAAGCACATGCACTCAACAGGGACCACTAAATGTAACTTAATAGTAATGGAGTGGTATGATTTATTCTTAGATGTGTGATCTTGCATGTCTGTCTATGCATGGTGACAAATCACAGAGTGAAAGGAATAAAGTGCTGGAGTCATTTCTTGCTTGTGAATGTCCTGTTCTTGTTTGCACACCAGTACTTGGAAGAGGAATTGATCTTCCCAATGTTAGCCAGGTAAACATTTAAACGTTAGGAGTCCATTTTCTTATTTTAATACATGTACATATAGTAATCACAAAAAAGTAACCTCTGTTCATAAGGTGATCCATTTGAAGACATAGTAATTAAAAAGAATTTGAAGATTGTGCGTTGAAATTTGAACGTCTCCCACCAAAAAATATCTGTTTTTTCTATTGGCAGTAGATTATTATTTATAGTTTCTAAATACGCTATGTTGTAATTTTTTTTATACTTATTATTGGCTCACTTGAACCTTAACTGACGGTAGCATATAAAGTGGTCAGTGAACTAGCCATTTACCATTAACAACTAATAATTAAAATGATTACTACAACCCCCTCTCCAACAAAAAAAAAGTTTTTAAATGAGATAAAACATACTTAACTCGATTCGTCTTCATTTGCCTATTCCTCGGCAACTTCAGGAGATAAGAGTTGCTCAGTGTAAGAGGTAATCTTCAAAAAGCAGTTTAATTCCGTCGAGTTGTATTTTAGGTGTTCTTGCTATGTTTTTAGGCAGTACTTTGGCTAATTCTTCTTTTCAAAACGTGTGAAATTTTCCGCCATTTTGTTGAGTTCTATCAAAGCAGCTGAGTTGAGCTGGTTGCCAGCCTTTCTTCTTTCGATATCCTGTACTGTTGACGTCATTTTACTGGATATCGCAAACGTCTTCCAAATTTTGGTGAACACTAACTAGTTTTGGAGAATTAACCAGGGGATTTGTGCCAATCAGCAAACGATAAATATTGTGAATGAATAATACTTGTACATTTGCGCCCTTTAAGATTTTATCACTGCCTGCTGTTCGCAGTTACCCGAAAAACTGCAGTTTAAAGAAAAAGAGAGAGATAAGAAAGGGTTTAAATAGACTAATGAATGTTTGCGTTTCAGGTGATCAACTTTGATATGCCTTCATCAGTTGAGGAATATGTCCACCAAGTGGGGCGAGCTGGCAGATTAGGGAAACCTGGCTTGGCCTTAACGTTTATTAATAACACAAATAAGGATGTGTTTCTCGACTTAGCCGAGACTCTTCAACCATTAGGCATTCACCTACCTGATGAGCTGCTGAATTCACCGTACCTTCTGCAGCAAAAACAACGAACAAAGCAAGCAGCAAGGAAGCGAACACACAGAGATGTATTATGGACACATGAGAATCTCATGGACTTAATTAAGAAGAGAAAAACAAAAAGATAGAGTCTATTAATTATCATGTAATTTACACTACATCCTTTTTTTACGTTCTACTTGGCTTTACTCTTTGTAATAATTTAATTTGTTTCGAAGTCACTGTTTTTTGTTAATTTATTTCTAATAATTAGAAGTACAGGCATTAAAGTAACAGTTAGTCACAATCGCTTTGTTGCATAATTTTTAAAAGGTTATAGCTTTTTTGATTTTTATGGTAACTAGGCATTTCTAATTCACGGAACCTTAAAAAATGCACATAATGGTATTTTATCAGTCTTTACCTTTCGCAAATTTGATTAATTCCAACCAGAAACTCAGATGAGTTTCTGTTCCAACTCATATATCTGCAAAATCATCATGCAATCGATGTAAACAGGCGGTTTATACCTCATCACGCGAGGGTCGGAAAGATGTCTTGAAAGCTAGAGTTCTCTTTTGCTTTCATTTTTTGTATACTTTAAAAGATGCTTTCCACGAGTCACTTCACAGATTTCTTATTTTACCACCATTAGAAATATGGCTGTTCACACAACGGCTAAATTTGCAATAATCGATGTGTGCATTGGATAGAAAGAAAGAAAGACAGAGAGAGAGAGAGAGAGAGAGAGAGAGAGAGAGAGAGAGAGAGAGAGAGAGATTTATGGCCAAAGCAAGATCACACTAGCTTCGCTTGGCGATCCTCGTGAGAGTCACGCGTGATGCGAATTCCGACAAATTGCAAATCTCGCTTCGCTTCGCGAGCAATAACAGTAATTTCCCGCCAGTTTGGTGCAGGTGGTTGTTCATGTGATCTTTAAATGTATGAACGTATGTGGTTACTTGCACAATTTGATGCTTTAAAAACATAAAGTGTAAATGGAGTTTTGATTTTAGTGTCCATGTTCTCACCGTGGGAGCAAGAGACTTCATGCGCGGTTTTATCCGAGAATGTGTCGGCCCCCGAAGCATCCCACCTCTAATACCCGGGGTACAATGTTTGTTGTCAAAAACAACTCAACTTGGTTCGTACAACTTCAGCCAAACAAAATTCAAGGACTCTTTAAGGACAAATCACGGTTTTCAAGGACTAAAATTTAATTTAGGTAATAAATCAGCATTCTTTGACCCCCTTTTGAACGCCTTATATGGCTTAAACACTTGATGGGTCATTTACAATTATTTTTTATTCATTCAGCCATGAATGATCACATTATCATATACTACATGTACATTACATTTACTTTCCGTAACAACTGTTTGCAAAGTGGCAACAGTCATTGGGTATGATTTTCGGTACTGTTGCATCTGAGGTACAGAAAGAGCATTTGAAATAAAGAAACTGAAATAAAATATTGCTCATGCACAAAAATCTGTTTATGGTACCCTTGCGTTTTACAGGTTCTTAGACCTAGCATGCGCCAAATAAACAAAGTAGTAAATTTAAGGACTTTTCAAGACGTAGAAAAGAAATCAGCAAAACAAAACAAACAAAACTTTTGTTAACACTTATTAAACCTAAAGAAAGTTGCCCTGCAAATTAGCAAAGTAATGCTGTTCCAGGCAGTGAAAAGTAATCGTATTAAAAATAATGATAATTAGACAACATGGCAATACAGAAGTTGATCTGCAGAGTTAGAGATATTATTTTTTAATGTTGAATGATATTGCCTGGCAGTCACAGGAAATAAATGAAATATGTAAATATTATAACATTTTCTTTTGCTTAATACTAGAAATACGTGTATCTCAGAACCTCGTGAAGGTCGGGGGAGGCCCATAAGGGGTGGGAGGACGGGAGAGAAATTTAGTAAATTAACAATTCAGGGTGTCCAGTTCCTATTTTTTGAGCATACTCCTATTTTCTCCTAATTTTAAATTAAAACCTCCTATTTTTTAGTTGGTTTCGCCAAAATTTGTAACAAAATTGAAAATGGAATTGTAGTAGTTGGTGCACTCCTGTATCTCCTCATTTCTCGATCTAATCTCAGGGTCGTAACGAGGTATATTTTGTCCCGCCTGATCCCCCATTTTGACCTTAAATTTTGATCCCTGGTCCCAAAATTGCTGTAAATCTTGATCCTTGACCCCATGAAAATTTTTTGATGCCCGGTTTCAATCTGGGTTGAATTAGCTGCTTATCATATAAAAACTACAGCTGAAACTAGACGCCTCTAGTCGTGCATCACCATCTAACTATCCCTGTAGACTACTCATACTAGTGTGCGTAGCTTCAGGGATGTTGCCTGAGATCTTGAAGGTGTACGATGCGGTGATGAAGATTTGCAGCACCGAAGGCGGCCCAGCCTAGGGGAGTCAGGGGGCATGCTCTCAGAAATGCTATTTCCAGCTTTTTCGGCAGTGATTTGATACGCAGGAAAATGCAGTTAGTTAGTTATTGTTTACTTTACCCATCTCTAGAGTTGTCGGTAAGGTACATTCTTTAAGAAAAAAAAGGCGAGTGACACCCTCAGAATCGTGGAATAATAAAAGGATAACTGAGTAATCACTAACAGAAAGTCACCAATATAGTGCGAACGAGGTGTCAGTCATCTCTATTCAAGTGATAAAAATGTTTTTTCAGGAAATAATTTTTATTTTCTTATCTTAGCTGTGCGGGCGCATGTGGGTATATGGACGCTACGCTCCTCAGTAGCTCCTGCTCCAGCAAAATAAGATCCAAATGAAATCTGATTGGCTTGACCAGCGATCAAAGTAAGCACAGAATTCTACACGCCCAGGATGATAAGACAATCCCCATCACAACAGGCGTATGAACAACAACGGCTTGCAATGCTAGGAATCTGGCTTCACAATTTTGCATCAATTTATTCCAGATTTATGGGGATTTTGTTTCGTGGATTTTGGACGATTGGGCTAGATCGGATTGTATACAGTTTAGTACCGGATCCAAATGTTACAGCAAAAATACTACTGAATTTTAAAACGTTGGCAGGTCCCTCCTTAATTTTGTGGTCTTGGTTGTTATATCCCAGAGAGGAACCGGATTCCTGATCCCCTTACAGTACTACTGAACCAGATCCCACGGCTTGTGATCCCAGATCCGGGCGCTGTGATCCCTGATCCCATATACCTCGTAACGACCCTGTAATCTCCAAGCAGGCGAGACTGAATGCCACTGTAAGCGCGTTCTTCTTTTATTTCGGAGTCTTGCTCGCTTTTATGTTCATCTTTGAAACTGAAAACAGGATCAAGTAGTCCTCTCACAACACAGATCAGATAAATCATTCAATCAGCTTCTTGTTTAAAAAGCCAATCACTTGCTGGTTCTGTATGCTACATGAACAGAACAGACTCAAGTTTAGTTTACGGCACTAGCTCTCTTCAGGGGCGGATCCAGGATTTTTTTAGGAGGGGGTGCACTCGTCTCTTGCTCTACTTCAACACCAATAAACCACATAGTTTTTCTTTTTGCAGAATACCAGTTGTATTAGAAAACCGCAGGTCATCTCAGGGGGGGGGGGGGCGCACCCCCTGCACCCTCCCCTGCTCTTATACTTAAACAACCAACATTCAATCGAGTACGTAGGTGAGATGTGCGAGACAAGTGAGATAGCAAGTTTGCGAAAATATATCTTCAAAGGGAAAGATTTGCTTTATTTTATTAAGAAAATCATAGTTTCCGTAAAAAAGAAGGACGATTTGACATTCAGGGGAACAGGGCTTTGGCTTTGCAAATCAGCGAGTTTCCATTTCCGCTTCGTCGCTCCAAAGAACACATCTAAGACGTTGAATAGCCAATTCACTCGGAAAACTGAGATAACCTAGCATATGGCGAACCTCGCACAAGGAAAACTAGTGACTGGAGAATATTCCTCTGTTTGCAGGTCGATATAGCGAAGATACACCAGTTTAGAAACATCGAATGGTCGCTCAGTTCTCTCCCTCAACACAATTGTACGGCAGCCATCGGCGTGAAAGTAAAGGATCACGTGATAAAAGTTCAGTAATAATATACCTGGATACAAAGCATCATGGGAAGGCGTTTCAATTCTTCTTGCCACCAATCAAAAGGCAGTTTAAGCAGCGACGTTTTTGAGCGACGCACGTCAAACGGAAGTGGGCATTTTTCTTTTTTAAAATTCCTTGACGCTATCAAATTTGTATTGTTAAGTTTCTTTGCTCTTGTAGAGACGGTTTGCTAAAAAATTTGTTCCAAATCACGGCACAAGAGGGTAACAAGTCCACTTCCGGTTGACGTGTGCGTCGCTCAAAAAAAGTCGCTGCTTAAATTCTCTAGCTTCGTACGCAGACGTCTCTCTCTCGATTGGCGAGCAAAGGAAGGCGGGAAGAGGACAAAGAGCGAGACGGCGCTAAACCAACGCTAAACGCTAAACCTCCCGTCTGTACCCTTCCCACGGTCCCTTGCGGTTCATCACTAGTCACTCACGTTTCGCACTCGCCTCTACCATGCGAAAAACGAAGCGCCTGAGGAGGAGGCTGCGATAGATTTATAAGCCAAGAGAAAATCACGCTGGCCTTGCGATGCTCGTGGGAAACACGCGCGCTTCTCGTGCGACGAGATTTTTACTGTAACTGTTTGTAGTGTTTGCCGTTGTACTTAAAGTACGTCAAACAGGGGTTAAGCAGGTCCATAATGTCGTCTGTAGGTAGTGGTAGTTCAACAGTAGAGTTCTTGAGTGCGTTCTCAGTACAGTCTAGAGCCAGTTGAAGTGGAATACTGGTGAACAGTGATTGCACGTCAAAGGCCACTAGTTTGTGGTCGTCCGGTATCTGTATTGTCTTAATGGCGTCCATAAAGTTCTCAGTAGACTGTAGTTTTTGTTTGGATTCGTCAGTCAGCAGTTTCAGTACGTTAGGTAAGTTTTTAGACAGCTGGTAGGTCGGGGACCCACAGTACAACGGCACCCACAGTACAACTGTCAACAACAACAGTCCTATTCAGGACTACGTTCACCCGGACGATCAAACTCAACCTACTTTTGTCCCTGTTTACTTGTAACATCATGGTGTCTGGATATCGGATAAAACAGTGTTTCAAGTGCTTAAGATACATGCACTTTCTTATTTCAATACAAATAAAAACAATCAGTAAACATTTCATGGTCATAGTAAGAAGATCCTGGATGGCAAATTTCCTTCACACTAGGGAAGTCCTTTGCTCCTGCTTTATGAGTTATAAATGAGCTTTATATATGTCTGTCAATTAAATTCACATAATTTTCTTTGTTCAATTCTTGTGATCTAAATATTAGGCTGGCATATAGAACGCTCCTCCTGTCCTGTCCTCCTTCTTTTTAGAAATCAGGCGAAGATTTAGAATGATTAAGAAACAAGGCCACACTGAATGGCGTTTGAAAACCTCATCCAAACAACACAGCAAACTTGAGGTGTAAAACAGTTCAGATTAACTGAGAGAATCAAGCTGACTCTGAATGATTTCCAGCTACACAGGAGAAAAACACAAATAAATAACAGTGTTGAACAATAGTCAAGAATATGAATAATGATGATAATTTGAACAACTGAATATGATGGCTGGGCTTTCCATTGCCGCGTGTCAAAGTACTATTGAGTAAAAGGTGCAAAAGCAACCCAAATCTGAAAGTGAGATGTACTTCTTTCCAAGCTGTTTTATTTATTGCAAAAGCAGTACCTAACCACTGACCTGATTATAAAGGGCATATAATTCCTCATGGGTGAATTCTACATGGACTTTTTCCCTAACACCCTGAAATAAGATCAAGACTATGGTCAATACACTTATTCACTTAACGGTTTCCTGATTTTCAAGGTTGAAGATTAGTCTTCAGTATGAGAATCTAAAGGCTAGTGCAGCTTTTATATTGAACTGAACAAAATAATTGTCACTACCCAGAAAAGGGGACACCAAAAAGATTATACACTTCATAAAGAAAAAGTTTTTTTTCAAGTATGCATTTACTTTCCAGGAGCAAGCTAAAGAGGCTCTTTTTTATAGAATGATGAAAGGAAAACGACTTGAGTTAGTCAACTATTTGTGTCTGAAATATGAGAAAATTATATCAATCGATGTCCTAAAAGATCAAGGCCAAGGTGCTCTCTACTGACCTTATTCTGGAATAAGACAATAGACCTTGTCACGGTTTTCGACGCCATCTTGACGAGCAGGCAAACGCGTGAAAAATTACAGTGTTTGTATGAGAATCTAATGTCGAATAATTTCCGTAGAACGGCTGTTCTGAAAAAAATATGAATTGTAAACTAAAGCTTCACTCCTAAGGATTCTACTGAAAAAAATTGAGGGCGTTACATGCGCTAGAAGACCTAGAACCACTTTTTTAAATTTTCTATACATTTGTCTGTAAGAAAGTCCCGGGAAAAATTACAGACAAATATATGGAAAATCTAAAGCAAGCCTCTGGAGAAATTTAAGCACAGGTACGTCCCCAAAATTTTTAAGTGCAATTGTTACGCCGCGAAATGTAATAATCGCCGCAGAATGTAATATTAACGCAAAATGTAATAAGAATCGCCGCAAAATGTAATAACATTGACGCAAAATGTAATAAAATTTTCAACGCAGAATGTAATAATCTTTCAACGCAAATTGTAATAACTTTTCTAACGCAAAATGTAATATCAGCATTGTTGCTCAGTCATCGGTAGCGAATTCAGATTTTCAATTAAATTATAAGCTATTATTATTATTGATATTAATATTAATATTATTAATAATATTAATATTAGCTATTGTTATTATTATTATTATTATTGCTAATATTACAATGAAACAGTTGAAATGAGGAGATGTAATCATCTTTAAGGAACCGAATGGGACGTTTGTTTCCGCTGATTTGAACGTAATACAAGTCCCAATACAGGAGTAATATATTATGTAGCTCTAACTTCTATTAAATTATTGCACATTTTCTGTTAGTCTAAAGCTACAAAAGACAGAATAGTTAGATTGAAAATTCCGGAAATGTTTCTAGAGGTGAAATGGATGACTACTGGTGTGAGTATTTCCCTGACTACTCAAACAAATAAAACGCTATGAGTAGCTATGAAATTTTCTTTGAACATTAGTTCAGAGTGCAAGGGTAGAGCTAATTTAACGCTATTTATGTACATACGGAACCAGAACACCATTTATTATCTTCAAAGTAAGGAACGCAACCATAACCGTTTTTATTCGCTGACATTTAGGAATCGATTATAAAATACACTAAACCATGTAACTCAAGGGTCTCATACGGCAAAAATATAATGCTGTTCACAGCATCACATTTTTCCCTCATATAACGCACGATGGTTAACGAAAAAAGAGAAATAGCGTATAATATGATAATTATGATTGTTACATAGGAAAACAGAAACGGTGATAAAATATGAACGGACGAGTTGTAGCCTCAAAGGGCATTAATGGTGGCTTTTTTTGTTTCCAGTAGATATTGTAACCGCGACCTATGGGGTTATGGAAGTAACACGACGTTTCAACCGTTATTTCATTAATAATAATAATAATAAGAAGAAAATAAATATTATTGCTATTATTAATATCAATATTGATAATAATAATAAAATAATAATAATAATAATAATAATAATAATTCACATGAAGATCCAGATCAGCTACTGATTACTGAGCCACAATACCGATTATGAAATAGCATGCACGTCCTTATTTCGGAAATTATTACATTTTGCGTTATTACATTATGCGTTAGAAAAGTTATTACAATTTGCGTCGAAAGATTATTACATTTTGCGTTAGTATTACATTTTGCGGCGATTCTTTATTACATTTTGCGTTAATATTACATTTTGCGGCGATTATTACATTTTGCGGCGTAACAGCAATCCTTTGCTTTGTAGCTTTAGTTTACAATTGATATTTTTTTCAGAACAGCCGTTTTACGGAAATTATTCAACATTACATTCTCATACAAACACCGTAATTTCTCACACGTTTGCCTACTCGTCAAGATGGCGTCGAAAACCGTGACCAGGTCTATAAACAGCACTTAAACAATGACGATAGGGCGATATGGAGGAAAAAATTACTAGCGCAGAGAGGAAACTCTTTGGCATATTTCCTTGCAACAGGGAAGAGGGAAATATAAGTCGGCAAACCAACATCATGCGAACAGTTTCCTTGTCTTCTTTAAACATAATTTATTATCTCCACTAACAAATCATCTTCTAGAATTTCTTCACACTTAAACAAAGCAATATCCTCATAACAACAATGTTGATTGTCAAGTAAAGAAAGATCCTCGCAGTTGTAAACGCAATTTATGCAATTGCGTAAGAAGCCTGAAAAAAATTCAGGACTTTAACGGGATTTGAACCCGTGACCTCACGATACCGGTGCGACGTTCCAGCCAACTAAGCTATGAAGCCACTGATGTTGGGAGCTGGTCAATATGTGGTCATATGTTCCCGTGATGTTGATTGTATTATTAATTGTGACATTACTTGAACAACAGAAAATCTTCCTTTACAAAAAAAACCACTATATCCCAGGAAAATTCGAATCATATTCTTATTCCAGATTTAAAGGTCGTTGAATGTACATTGATGTACTTATCCTTTATACCAGCTAATGACCGGATCCACAGAGAAACATGAGGAATCAAGAAACGCTACGAGAACCAGGTAGACAAAACTTTGAAAACAGGAGAATGACAAGTCTCAAGGAACAATAATTAGTATGTCCGTAAATAAGTAAGTAAGTAAGAAAGTAAGTAAGTACGTAAATACGTAAAAATTAAGCAAGTTAGTAAGTAAGGAAGGAAGGAAGGAAGGAAGGAAGGAAGGAAGGAAGGAAGGAAGGAAGGAAAGAAGTACAAGTGTAAGTAAGTAATCAGTTTACTTACTTACTTACTTATTAATTTTAAAAAGAACATATAAATCACCTTTAGGTGAGTATGATACAAGGCGCGTTCTTACCTGGCGTCCAGATGCAATACTTAACTCCATCATAGCATTTGGCAGTTTCATTTTAGTTGCATTACTTTGAGCCATTTGCAGGTTTAGCCTCCAGCTTACTGCTTGAAGCTATTCAAAACAAATTAAAGCTTTTATCACCTGACAAAGTTCCATAAATTAAGTAATGAACTTATGACTATAAGAAATTTATTAATGATGTGTATTGATTACATGTACCTGTTTAGGTGCCAGGCTTCTTTGCTTCAGCTTCTCTACGACAGACTTTCCATTAGAAGTCCACAGATCCACTATTGCCTGAGTCTTGAAAACAAAATTGCAACATGAACTGCTGAAAACTGAGTAAATGTAACAAGTAATCCCATAATAACAAAAATATGAGTTTCCTTAATTTTATAGGTACAGTGTATTACCCCTCCCCCAAAAAAAAAAAAAAAAAAAAAAAAAAAATGAGAACAAACAGTCAACAGCGAATAAAAGGGAAAAAAAACCAGATGATTTTGAACCGCTAAAACAGCATTAGTTGTAAATCCCTGGGGTAAACTTCTGTCAGTTTTCCCCTAAGTGTCTTCAAACCGTGAATGCAATTTATTTCATGCCAAGACAGACCTCATATATCAGGAGAAATAATTTTACAGTACTACTTTTTGCCAAAGAGCAGCCTCACCAAGACGCGAGGCTAATAGGGCCGTGCACGATTGCTCCAGGGGCAGGAAAAATCTCGAGTCGATGTAACATAGAGTAATGTAAGGCAACCATGACGTAATGCAGGACATAGAATGCATTGTTTTCAAGCGAGCACGTGATACAGATCAGAGAATCCACGAGCCGTCGGCGTGTTTGTAATTCCCGTGCTCATCCGGTCTTCAACCAATCATCGGGTGGATCAGTTCCATCGTACGCGATATCTGTCGCATTGGCCCGCTGGAATTTTTTATTGCAAGCCGCTAAGAAAAAGAATAACGCAGCGAAATCTTTTGTGTCTTTGAAGCAAAATAATTCGGAAGGCTTCACTGGCGCACCATAAAGTTTTTTAGCTTAAAAAGAGAATTTTTAGGTTGCTTTTAAGACCACTAAATTATACGCAAAATGACTTGTGCGCAACTTCGGACAAAAACACCTACTTCAATATCTCGAAAAATTTGCTGCGTAAAGTCGGTATTTCAAATTCTTTACGCAGTAGAACAGTTTAGTTCACTATTTTCGAAAGACAAATTAAAGCAAGGGGCACACATACACCAACAACATGATCCGCCTTCCCCGCGCATGTCGTGGGAGAACTGCCGTGCGGTTCCTAGCCAACAGCTCCCACATGTGTTGTGTGGAGCTGGCGCTTGATAAACTGCTTTGCACTCACCTCGGCAGTAAATTGTTGTTAAGAGGCGGCTATTTTTCATCAATCACTGCATTTAAGAGATCATAATAGGACAGCTGTCCTGTTATGGCTCTTGCTGCATTTCATGACATTTCTAAACAAATTCAACAGCGCGTGCGTGTAAGTAAAATCTTTGTTCGTTGGAACTCAGCGATAGCTATAACTAGTATAAAATTGTTAGTGGATACAACATAACAAAGTATGAGCCAGAATAAAACATGGTCCACAGACCAAAGACTCGTATAAAATATGGACTACAGACTACAGACTACAGACTGGGTTTAAAAAGGTGGTTAGAAGGGTTAAAAACTAAAAGACGATTTATGACTAAAGAAAAAACATATAACAAGTAAAAATTTAGTTTATTTTATTGAGAGTCTTAAATTTTTTGGCGCAAGAGTGTTTACGTTTATACTGCAGTCCACGGCAAGTATTTTAGACTGACTGAGTAAAGAATACCTTTTCATCTGTTAATCCGATATTTTGTAGCTGCAGCTTCAACAGTTGTGCTTTGGCATTGTGATAAGCAGCCTAGGAGACAAAATCATTTAATACTGATAATCTACTTAACATCATAAAACACCAACTCTGACATTAACGGCTTGGAAACTAAAATTTCGAGGACGTTTTTGGACTTTTTACATTTAGGGCATGAATTTTTCGTCATTTCAGGCCATGGAACCTAAAAATGAGCCTAGCTAGCTGTAAAAGGGGGCAATACGGAGGGAATACGTCCTAGCCGGCATGATCACATGCTGTTTACGGAAAATTCCCTCATCCATGTCAGGAAATTCTGTACCTTAAAGCCTCCCCTAGGGCATGACTCAGCAATTGAGGACATTTCTGCTACGTTTTCAATGTTGGTTAGCATGCAAGGATTTTTCCCATGCCTATCGTCAATGATTTGCTCACTGGTAATAGAGGGGGTGGCCCCAGAGAGGTTTTGCATTGAAATTGGCATGCAACAGAATTTCGCATGCCCTGTAAGCATAATTTGAGGTTCTGTGACCTTCTCACCCAGGCCGCGAGAAGCCTAGGTTCTAGTAATAAGTAATTCATACCCAGCAAAATCTCCGGCATGCCGGGCATGCCAAATTTTCTGACATGCCCGGCATGCCAAATTCTCTGGAATGCCGGGCGTGCCATAATCTGGGTCATGCCGGGCATGCCAAAATCGGTCTCTGGCATGCTCTCAACGCACAGGTTATAATTCCTTGAATCTACAGATATTTTAAGCGTGGCTTTAAAAAAAAAAAACTAAACAGATCACAGTGCTTATGACGTCATTGCTATTCCTTTCATTTTCATAGATTTGGTTGTCCCAGCGAAGTTTAAATAACAAAAGCTCTAATTTTCACAAGAAAGTAAAACCCTGAGGGATTCTGCCGAAGTAATAAAACAGCGTCATCGTGGAGATGACCTGTTGGGGGATGCTAAAAACTCCTCACCCCTTTTAATGAGTCTTTAATAGGATTCCCACTTCACATTGCGAATGAAATGGAATTGACTGAAATCAGTAAAAAGAGAGACAGAGACTATTTTCATTGTATAATAAAATGCATCTATGTTCTATGAAAGCTTTTAAAAATACAAGGTTATAGAATATCTTTCAAAGTTCATTACAAACTGAGCTAAGCCCCAAAATCACTGTTCATTATTCAGTAAATTATGATGTTTGACAATGTAATGTGCTTGAATAAAACGTTGCAATTACAAATCTCTCTAACGCAATTTTTCCTACGTTAGAAAAGCTGTTTTTATCTTGTTTCACATTTTGATAAGGAGTCTGAGTTCCTCTTTCTTGGTTTGTAGGCTTGCCAGAGATTAATGTTTTTGTGTCATTACCAGTGTCTGTGTTCTTTGTCTTTAACTCAAAGTAAGTCAGTAATAACTGACAGTATCAAAGAATTGCTCTCTAGAAAAGTAATTATCTCCTAGTCATGTCTGGAAGTTACCTGTAACAAAAAAGAAATGGAATGTTAACACATGCAAAGGAAATATGAGAAAAAGAAATAGAACATGTAGAGCTCAGCTTCTCTTAACATATTTTCATACTGGCTTGTTGAGTCTGTTAAAGGTCGCAACTAATTGTCTGAGGCTAATTTCACAAGAGTGTGCAATTGAGATAAATACATGGTAAATAAAGTGAAAGAAACGTGGTTTCACATTAGCCAATTTACATTGCGTTGTTCGATGATGTTTACACGCTTTTCTATTGCGAAATAAACCTTTGCATTTGGATTTGCAAGTAAAGATCATACCGAGTTTGACTGACACTTAATTGAACAACAGTTTCATTTTTAAGCAGGCAAGACGGAATATGTAAAGGAATATGTAAAGGAAACTCAGCGAAAACTTTTTCGTATCTTTTTGTGGCGATATTCTCTCACGGCCCGTCAACTGATTAGGGGTTGCGAAGAAAAAATAAATTAGGACCAAAGGTTAAAGCCTGTCCGGTTACATCATTTCGTATGTTACCTAGTGTTCTAATTGCTGCGGAGCGACCGCAGGGAGCGAGCAGCAACATAATCAGGATTTAAGGGAAATATATATAAGGGGCGACGAATTCTCGAATTCATCACTTTTTACCACAATGCATTGCATTTAACCACACTTTTTACCACAATGCATTGCATTTAACCAGAGTGCATTGCGCCACGAACAACTCAAACATAAACACGGGGAAGTTCGCATCGTTCGCTGCCCAGACTAAGAGTTTTCTTCGTGGCAAATTTTCTACAGCACGGTTACAGGTCTTACCAAATTTAAGACACGCAGGAGTCTTTCAGATGAGTACGATGGTTAACTTGGGGATTGGATTTCAATTCAAGAGCCTTTGACTCGTCCCGGTATTAAACCTGACGAGAAGATGAGCATTTGCTCTTCGACTCCGCAACACGGGGGATATACAAATTCCAGCTTGCTAGAAGGTGATGTGAAAGTGAGAAAATGTCATGCCAAGCTACTCTTAAGAACTTGTATGAGCCGAAAATGGATGTGATTTTGACCATTCGCTTCAAAATAACCGTAGGGGAAATCGAGATAACAAAACATATGTTTTGTGTCCTACGTTGCAGACGAGGACGTGTATCGGCGTTTTGAAAAGCACAATTATGTTCTTTCATTCATTCATTGCCATGCAATATGCGTTTGCACTGTTTTTTCACTGTTAATAGCTCGATTAATGCGGCTGGCGATCATCTTGCCGACGGCGGTTTCATGGAAAAGGGATTAAATTAAAGACTTTCTCCAATATGGCGTAGCCAGTCTCTGTGGTGTAGTGGTTAGGTGTAGTTGCGTCAAGCCGATGGTGCCGGGTTCGAGTCCGACCAAATTCCTTTTTTCCTTCTTTCTTTTTTTCTTTCCGTTTTTTGTGTTGTTGTTTTCTATAAAAATATAGCTAAATAACTGTTACTTAATAAAGTGCAATAAAGAGCAAGAAAAGTATCGTGTTTCCAGAGAAAAGATAGTACACCGTATATTAAATATATGGATAAACAATCTGAATTTCTATTATTTCCTACAATTTACTGTGGGAAAACCAGAGTTGATAACCACTTGGTCATTTTCTAAACAACGTTCCCACGAGTTCTTTCTATAGACTGATAGTAATTATTCTAGTGCTTTCCAACATGTAAATAGGACATTCAATGTCATTTTCGATTCTTTTAAGTCCCACTGCCTAACTAATGCCAGTATCAACAGAATGTGCCGCAGCATTACTATCTTTTAGATACCCTAGTAAATAGGTCATAAAATAGGATTTAACGAGAGCGAATTTGTTTCTCAATCGGTGTATAAAAAAGTGAGGTTATCAAATGAGAAGTTTATAGAGTATCAAAATTATTAAATTAAAAGCTCATATAATTAGGAAAATTCCTATACGAAAACAATGCTAGTGACATTAAATTGATCAGACAAAATTCTCAGAAAATATGTCGAATAAAAGCCTCATTGTTTGCTTTTGTTTTTGCGTAAAGGTAAATTTTTCGGCCCACAAAGCAAAGTTGAAAAAGCGACTAAATCTTAGTTTTTTACATTGAACATGTTTATTAGCTTAGTTTTCGTCCGTTTTAAAAGCTTTATAACCCAATCATAATTTTCGGTTAAAATAGTACAAAATCATTTCAAAAACCATGTTCATTTATAGTAGAGCCGGCAAACGTGAACATTTTGTAATTCAAAAGTCGGACCCAGCCAGGTTGTTTAAGCTTAGAATTATTTGCATTTTAGCGTCCTATAAATTTACCAGAATCGCCTCTCAGAGGCTTACTGTAGCAAAGCATTTTGTAGTACACTCGTAGACAAGCAATGTAAGCCTTAAGTCTTTGCTTGGATGAGATGTCCAAAAGAAAAATTAGTTTTGTGGAACTAAACGCACATTCACAGACTGCTTATATCGAGTTGTTTACAACTTTGCATTGACACGCGAAGCATGTTCATTTTTTTAAAGCGAAATCCAAATCTGATTTTGGCATTTGATTTACGGATATTTTATTTTGTCTCCAAAAGTGATTGTAATATCCGTTGGATTGTCTTTCATACAACAGTCAAACTATGCAGCAAAAATAAAGTAACTTTACCAGAACAGTGGAAAAATATGACCGTAGGTGCCAAAAATAATTATACTCGAGCTATAAAATTAGACCTGACTTTTTTTAGCTTTGGTTTCTTATTTTTGAAGTTTTCTCTAGTCTTCTTAGCAGCAGAAGAAGATTACAAGACATACAAACAGAAACAATTCGAAGTGAACGAGTTGACAACCACTTATGCCGGAGTTCTTAGGCATGCTCAACAGGCAAGATAAACTGAATGCCAAAAGGCTAACTCACGGGATTTGTTCGATATTCAGGCTTTTTCTTTACCAAATTAATACTAAATTTGTACTTACAGTCTCTCGCAGAATCCATTTCTTGTCCAGCATTCACCAACATCTCAACCATGCACCGCAGAAAAAAAAGACAAACAAGTGCGAAGAGACATGACGACATCGTGACGCCACAACTGCCACGCTTCAACAAACTTTAGATTCCTCGTCATCCGAAAACACTTCTGCGGAAATTCGGCCGATTTCGTGCGTGCTCGGGGTATCTTCGGATGACGCAGATGACGTTGCTCAAAGGACTAACGTCAGCAAGGAGTAAAACAGTTTGCGCGATTCGCATAGCCGACAAGGAGCGCACTGAAAAACTAAGCAAAATCTCTCTGAGAAGGCAGTCCAAATTCACCAAATCAGAACGTCTTTGCAGTATTAACGTCGTACTCTCGTACTGACTTGAACGACCTGGTAAGCTTCATTTTCACCAGTCTTTTAATGCTGTTGACCGGGAAACATTCCGACGCGATAAAACTTAAGCATGGATAAGTTTATACTGAGAAGATTTGTTATCTTATTGTTTAAGACGCTTTTCCGCGATCAAATTTAAATCTGGACCCAGAAATGTCAGTATCGGTTTGAAATAAAAGGATTAATCTTTGATTGCAAGTTAAGTATTCTATTTTATGCATGAATAATGTTGTTTTGTTGTGCTTTTTATTTATAAATCCAGGCTTCCGTCTTCAGTTTTGCCAGTCGATCCCGTGACACACATTGTGACAAACATGACTTTTTTTGTTATAATCTGCAATCTGTAATCTGTAACTTCAAGCTCCTTAAGATATATTTGGCGATTACATGTGATTCGCAGGATATGATGCTGAAGCGAAAATCAAAATCAGTCTCGCTGGGCATGCCAATTTCTTGCCTGGCATGCCGGGCATGCCAAACCAAGTGGCTTCACCATCGGCATGCCCGGCATGCCAAACCAGAGAAGCGAAAACTGGGAATGAATTATCAACCCGGCGAGAGAGCTGGGACCTAAGTTTAGCTGGGTCAATTTTGGGCTGCGAGGGCATGAACCCATTTTTTCCATGCCTATGAGATGTTATTTCTAAGTATCAATGTTCCCTTGAATTTTGTCATGCCTAAATGTATAAAATTTTCCCTCTCTCATTAATCCTCAGACTGGATGCGATTTTTACGCTCGCTAGGCATGTTCAACTGAAAATCATGCCCATACCCTTATTCAAAACAAAATGCTATCAAATTTTAGTTTCCAAGCCGTTCATTCTACTTCAATCATCCTTAAGGCATACTTAGAGATGCCAGCCTCTAAAGATCTTAAATATAGAGACTGTGTTTGACAGTTCAGTATCAACTAACCCAGCTTGCTTAACTTGACCTAGTCCACAAATGATGACATGGGCGTGGATCAGGATAAAATTTGACAGGTTGAGTCACGCCACTTCCCTGCATAAATTAGGATGTTATTGTATTTAAAAAAGGAGTCATTTTAGGGCTGTAGAAAGTCGTAAACTAGGGGTAATCATAGATTAAAGAGTGCGTTCGATATGCGAAGTGAATTATTTTCGGGCAGACCATAGATTTTTACAGGCTCCTATGAGTAAGTATCCAGGGAGAAAAAAAAGGTGATGATGACGGCAATGATTAACATATTGTTAAAAAACAATTTTATTGTGAAAAGGTTGCTATAGAACAATATGTGTTGCATAATTATATTGCGCATCAGTTTACAACAAAATGAAATTAGTTGTTAGCTGACCCAAGTGTTAGTTTCTTCAGCTGCAGGATTTAGATTTATTGGCAATAATCGGATAATTTCATTTGCAGTAATAAAATATAAGAAGATTTTTAGTCATGCAGCGACGAAAACAAAAATCCGACAGAAAAGCGTGCATTGTGCATGTGCAGAGTAACGTTTTGCTCGTTCAAAACTTGCTTGAATTTGTTTGACTTTGCTTAAGCTCTCTAATGAAGTCAATTGGAAGGATAAAAGCTTCCTTTTTAGCTTTCTAAATCATTACTTAAAAAAAATAAAGTGCAGTGCTACCGGGAAAGCCTCGAGCAATAATTATTTAACTTGAACGCTGCATGCGGTTTTTATGTGACTTAAAGTTGAAAGATCCACACTACAATTCATGAAACTTAATTTGTTAAAATAACTAAACGAAAGTCGAAAGTCGAAGGAGCATTACTTGTACGCCGTGTACACCAAAAATTTGCTCAATTAACGCACTTAATCGCATATGCCTGAATTCGAAATATATCCAAGTAATTTAAGGCGCCATAAAAACAAACAAACAAACAAAAGTAACAGAACAAAATTCCGCTATGTTCGAGTTAAAACTTGATTTTCTCGCCTTCGCTAGCATCAGGAAAACCTTGAATCGAGCTTAAAAGGCAAACAGATCAAGAAACATTCTGAAAGTTTCCATTGTATGTTACAAGTCATGTGGACCAACAGTCATCTCGTATTGGTCGAAAAATGAGTCATGTGTTTTGTATCGTTCGTACCAAGGACAGCTACGTTCTTTCAAGAGGCCAGGCTATTTGGAAGTCCGTCGCGAAAAATCTCGATTTTTTCTGGCTACTAATTTAGGATGGCGTTCTGCGAACGCAACAAGCCCAAGGTTTAATCTTATTCGAAGGAAAGATTTTGGACCCGTTAAAGTAACCGAACAAGTCCAAGCAATGTAAGATTCAGCTCTCTGTAGATCAGGCAGTTTTGAAGAGTTGCTAACCGATCACTACGAACAGACATCGTGTACGGTCGTTTGTTTAGTAACTTCAGTTCTTGTCTTGTTTGTCGTCCTGAAACTAAGTGTCTTCTTCAGTTTCCTCTGCTTAAGCTTTTAGCAGAGAATCCAAGCAGGATGCAAGTTTTGCTTTAGAGCTATCTGGCTATTTTTCTCAGAGGACAGGAAGTGAATCTTCAATGACACTAAAAAAACTAAGCAAAAGCACAGAAACTGTTAAAGGTTTGAACCCAGGAGTCATTTCAACAGTAGGTTGAGTTTGATCGTCCGGGTGAACGTAGTCCTGAATAGGACTGTTGTTGTTGACAGTGACTGACGTTTCGACAACCTGTGCGGTAGTCATCTTCAGAGTCAAAGTGAGTTGTATCGCGTCAGTTGATGGTATTATACTCTGGTTATTGATCTGATTGGTCAATTACGTCGCGATGTTTTTGGTCGTCTGTCAGTTAAGCCGTGATGTTGTTAGCTGTGAAGACTCGTAATCAGTAATGGGTGCGTTTCGATCCGTCTACTGTCACAGATAAACAGTCGTCTATTGTTAGTCAAATGGTCAGTTCTACAGTCGTTCTCTCGTAGTTAGTTTTGCTTGATCTCGTCAATAAGTCGTTTGTACGGCGCTGGTAACTGTTGGCTACGATTCAGTGGTGTTTGTTCTAAGTTAGTAAACCAGCTTTCTAAAGTAAGACGTTGTTTCGTTTAAAGACGAAACATCAAATTGACTGGGACTCTGTGACATGTATAACGTATTCTACAGACTACTATCAATTTACCACCTATTTTACGGTATTTTGACAGCACAACAAGGCAAATTTCTTCAGGTCTTCGGTTATTTGTGGAGCTGCACTGTCGATGTCTTTGACTGGGAATGATAGATATAATTTGGAATCATCTACGTAGGATTCTAAGGAGCAATAATCTGGAACGCCAAGCATGCAAAGTGCAAAAACGAATGTGGAGTGTGAGAAGAAAAAAAGAAAGAACCTCACTGGCACATCCCCGACCCCTCAATGTGGGGCTTAGCAAGCCTATAGTCTACGGTGGGTGCTTTATAATTACCATTTCTACTTCTACTCCATCAAGAGTTCAATCTATTTACTCCTATTAAAAAACCAGTCCCTGGGAGACTGACCTGGAAAAAAAAGTAATAAACCATGCAATAACCCTCAAACATTCCAGATAGAATCAAATTTTTTTCAGTTTCCCAAATTTCTCAATTTCTGCTTCTCTATATACAGCTGTAAATTCTGAGTCCTCCTTGTTTGTTTTTTCTTTTCATATTTCCTTTATCCTATGGATTATGATCACAATTCTTAATTTACCTGCTCTAAAATGAATGTACATGTTTCTAATACAATGTAAAGGTCATCAGATTCAAGTCCTAAAGCTGCTTGAAGTTTTTCCTCTTCATCTTTTGAAAATGCTCTTTCATCCTGGAAAGACAATAATCAAAAATTAAATCAGCACATAAGCATTTTGATGCCTTTTTGATAATATAAGGGTTCTAATATATCGCCTACAGGCAAACAAAAGTGATGTCCTTTATAGGAAGTTACGAACAAAAATATGAAAAAATAAAAGAAACAAATTAACCATACCCTTAAATGAAGTTTTTGTACAATTCTACTCAGCAAAAGAGGAAACCTAGCAGTGTCTAGGCTGTTGATTAACTGAACCGCCTTCTTCAACCTTAAAACAAAATGGTGATATCAGATGGTTAGGAAAAGTCAGAATGGGTCGATAGCAAAGTATAATTAAGAATTTGTTCATGCTTAGCGTGCGTATATCGAGTTATGGATGCACGCGGGAAGTTTGGAGAGCACGAAAGATGCGTAAGAGTTGCACGAGGCGATAGCCGAGTGCAACTCTAGCTTCTTGAGTACTCTCCAAACTTCCCAAGTGCATCCATAACTCGATATACGCACAGCTAAAAGCATGAGCAAATTCTTTTCTAACATAGCTCACAAAAATGCATGCTTTTTAATTAACTGCAAAATTCTCTTAACGTGTGACACAATAACAAACGGTTCTATTGGCTGATTATGAACACGCCACAATCGTCTAGTTTGAATGAAAATATCCTTTCTGTAAAGGTGAGAAAGAAAATTTGCTTCTTTATTCGTTAACGATCAATGGAAACTAAGCAGAAACAAAGGTAAAAGAGTCTTAAAGTTCACCTAAAGTTAAAACTAACATGTTCATAAGAAGTCGTGGAGTATGATTTGGATTTGCTGAAAAGATATTTACGTGTTGCTCGGCGAAATCCAGAAAACATGTTTTTAGTGAAGACGACTGTCATCCTTCTTTAAACTTATATTCATTTACGAACATTGGCTGGTCATTACGGCTTCTTGAGGAGACCTGGCAGCAGTTGTTTTTGTGAGTAATAAATTTATGTCTTCTTGTGTAATTTGTGTTGTTATTGCGATAGAAATTTTCCTGCTTCAGTCGGATTGTCCGGAGAAAACAAAAGTGTGATAACAAATTTAAAAACAGCAATAAAAATGGAAATTTTGCCTTTAAATGTTGTTGATGACCAGTTGGTGTCTGTTCTGTTCCCAGTGAATGTCTTTCGGCCAAAATTTGCTGCAGCTGGTCTTCGACAAATTTGCGAACGGCGCGCAACTTGCGAGATTTTTTATTTTAATTCGGCTTTATTTTTGCTGCTGGTTGGATCAGGACCTAAAAGGTCAATGCCGATAGAAAAATTGGGCAGTTCTTGGCTGGTTTCTTCCATATTCTAAAGAGAAGGAAAAGGGTACTACAGCTTAAAAGACGACAACTTTGCACCCAGGTAAAAAAAAAAAAATGCTCACGTCATCTTATTTACGCACGGGCGTGCGTAAATAAAGATTTTGTTCATAGCGGCTCAATAGGAGTTATATAGGGCAAGCACGCGCGCTATGTTATAACATACTCTTGATCATGGTGTATTATTGGATAAGTTAACATCACTAGGGGTCAGTAAGGCTTCCGTACAATGGTTTAAGGCTTACTTGACAGATAGGACAAAAGTGTTGATAAGGTAATGTTCACTGCTACACATCAAAGGCTTGCCCTAGTTGATAGTTTCACCGTTAACGCAAGGTCATGAGTCTATCAGGTAATTAAGTATCTTGGCGTTATGCTGGATCCATACCTCTCATGGAATGCTCACATAGACAAAATCGGGCGCAAAATATCGGCAAAGCTTGGTATGCTTCATAAAGCACTCAAGGTCATTCCGCGTGAGTCATGTTTAACACTTTAGAATGCCATGACACTTTCAATATTCGACTACTGCGTTGTCGTATGGGACTCTTGCAGTAAGGCTGACCAAGAGCACTTGAATAAGCTGCATAGGCTGCCGCCAGTATTGTTAAAGGCTACACAGTGTCACAGTTGCAGATATCTTACACTTTCGGTTGGCCTAGGCTCCAGTCCTGCCAGAACTATCTAAAGTGCATGCTAGTGTTTAATAGCCTTCATGGCCTGACTCCTGCATATTTACTTAATTTATTTAGCGACACGCACGATTTCCATTCAGAAACACGCGCCATAGAGATTTGCTCCGTCTGCTGCTAGCTTGGACAACTAAGTACCAGGGCTCCTTCAGGTTCAGCGGAGACAACACGCTTCCTCTGGCCCTGAGGAGCGAGCATGATTTAAGTAAGTTTGGGTTTGGCCTAAAAAGGCACTTTAGATCCAAGCCAAATTGAGCCTCCAGTACTTTCGCTTTACTTAGTTGTTCCATTTTTTTCTTTATCTGTTATCGATTTTTGTGTTGTTATTTCTCTTCATCAGTGCCCCATTCAAACCAGCCTCGCTGAACTGGGCACCCCTGACTAAATATTGTTCAAAATAAATAAATAAAGTAAAATTAGGCACAGTATCAAGGCTACAACTTGACCCATTAAGCCCCGTTTTCTCTTAAAACCAAATAAACACAAAAACATGAGTTTGTCTAAAAATTATGGAATGCAGAATGATGGAACCTATGCTCTGGAATCCACAACAACAACAGATATTACTTTTTGAAGATCATCAGTATACCCTTGAGGTATACCAAACTTGTCTTAGAGGATTTAAGGCAAGATTTGACATCATCAATTCGCACGAACTGTGTTCAATAAGATAAGTAGTTCAGAAGCCATTTTTTGTAATTTATTAAATTCAAGGCAATTTTCTTTCATACATCAAGTAGTGGCTGTTTTTAAGGCTATAAAGAACAAATTAAGCTAACATTATTTCGTGACCTTACGCTGAGTTGAATTTTTAGAGATGTTGTTGATATCTCGTTGACGAAAGTTGCCCCTACGCGTGAACAGTAAATACGCAAATCACAGGAGTTGACAATTTTTTTTGGTGGAGAAACTCATCGCTAGCAATTTGCATATTGATTCTTCTCACCTTGGTTTGTTCATTAAGAAAAATCAAGGTAACTAGAAGTGGTTTTAACGTTTCGGGTTCTGGTTTCACCCACCGAGAAAAAACGTTTGTGAAACCAAGCTGAGACACCAGCTGTTAGTAACCAATCACAATTAACCTTGCATATTTGAAGAAGTAACGTGTGAGTTTTTGCATGGATCTTGTGCAAACGTGTGGGAAAATATGGCGGAAGATGCACTGAGGAAAGAATGGGAAGTTTTCGGGTTTGAAAGACTCAGCAAGCATCAAGAGGAAACCTTGTGACTTGTTGTTAAATCAAAGAGCGAAGCTTTCGTGAATCTTCCAACTGGTTTTGGAAAATCTGTAATATTTCAGACTTTGTCTATTGCATATTCTTTTGTGGAACTAACAAAATAGAGCTGAAAAAACCGGATGCTCTCGCAGGCTATAGCCTGTGTACAACCGCCCTTTTTCTAGCCTGGGAACCGCAGACATATTTTTTGCCTCAGAACGATGCGTTTACGGATTGATGAAATAAGCACCAAGAGGATTCGTACTGAAGAAAAGATGAGGGGAATTTTTTTTTCTGTTTGACTACGGAGTCAATGATTTGTCACACCTTGTTGTTTGGATCATATTCAAAACAATAAATGTCCTAATGACAGTAGACGCATCATGCCGTTTGTTGCTTCTGTTCCTTTCCGGTTCCTTGCAAAGGCCCACATCACATACATAGCTTAAGAAGCCATTGCTTCACAAAGAAGTCAGCATTCAACGTCACAGGAAACCTCGTTATAGTTGTGAAATTCACGTTCCAAATCGTATTTGGTAACTCTCGCCAAATCCAAGACACGCTAGCGCGCGAGGTCACAATGAGTCACTCGAGGTGCATTCTATCCTTTGATCTGATCGACAAACATCAAAACAAAAGGTTTTACGTTATGGAAACCGTTTTGTTGCTCGCGTTTTCAGATGTTATTTTCGGAGGCAGAGAAACGATGACCGGAAATACGTCTGCAGCTCACAGGCTAGCCAATCGATAACAAATCTGAAAACTCAATCACTGAATCAGAAACTCCAATTAAACAGTGTGCTAATGACATGTTAAAAGACAGCTTCTCAAAAGAAACTTAACCCAAAATCTAACGTCCGTTTTCCTCAGTCTTCGAGGTAACGTTATGTGAAATTTTTCGTTGCTTTCTCGCTGGAAGTGTAGTCAATAATTTATGCCAAAAACTGCCGCTTCGATGATTCTCGCGCTACGAGAATCCACGATGTGATTCTTGTCGTGAAGGAAAGGAGACGCGACTGATAACTTACTTTAGAGCAGTACTGCAAACCCCATAATGCACCTCGTTTACCCCCAAAATGTTTTGTAACCATTATCTTTGATTTCCCATGGGACATCTGTAACACCCAAGAGAAACTGAAAAGAAAGGTTATACAAAATTTTGGGAGTTAAACAAGGTGCATTATGGTCTATGTGAAAATGGTCAATAATAATAAAAATGATAATAAAAACAGAAATAACAACATTGACAATAATTCATGTACAGAGAATAGATTTAAGTCAAGCTATAAAGCTTAAGGGTCAGACTTAATTATTACTATCATTGCAGGCGACAAGAGGAGTCTGCAGACTATTCTTAGTCAGCGGCAAGTTATAGATTGCATAGCAAGGTTTTTCCAAAATCTGTCCACACTCTTGGGATGCCAAGGTTCTGCATACTAATATGCAAAAATCTCCCAGAATCCTTTGAGGCAAGTTTTTAAAAAGCTTTATAACATAGCAAAAGTAAATCGCGCGCTCTGATTGGTCAGTTAGCCACTACCATTTGCCCGTGGGTGCACGCCAAGAAACTGAGCAAGCGCAGTAAAATTTAAGCAAATTCAACAAATCTCTCTTGACGGTAAAATACACCGATGAAATGCACAGACGAAAAGTGGAAGTTGAAGAAAATACTAAGCTGTCGTTTTGAAGGAAAAAGACAAAAGATCAAGCGACAAATTTGCCCTGGATGAATTAATCACTGTTTCCTCACGGCTAGAATCGGCTGAAGGAAAATCGAGCAAGCGAAGATTTAAGGTACATTTTGTGTGTTTTCTTATAGAAGAGAAAGTCTGTTTGAAATGTAAATTTATCAATTAGCATTGTGTTATTGACTTTTTGGTCAAGCTGATGCTAAATTCAAGCAAATATTTTAGGAAACACGCTCAAATTTGAGACAGCTTTGTGGTGAAGTTTTCATCGCATCGATTAAAACTTTTAGTTGAGTTTAAATGGGCACATTACGCTGGAATAAGCGTAATTTCATTTGAGTACAGAAACATTTGGGTTTTCAAATAAATTTTTCAAAAAATAACTTCTGTGTGTATTATTTTGTTCCTCAGTGTTCATTCATACCAGTCGTTCGGAGAACGGTCGAAAAACAACAGCTTTAGCGCCGACTCTGTGTCGGCGAATTTCAGTTGCAACTTTGACTTTCATAGCTGGATTTCCCCAGACAGATTTCGATATAAAGCTAGTTAATTTCTTGTTAAAATTAGTGTTACCTGTTATTCTAAAGGAATTACAGTCAAATTTTCTCATTTCTACTTTACGTTTATTTCAAAAATTGTCACATAAATAAGCTTGATAATTATTTCATTTATTTAGGTTTAGCTTATTTTTTAGAGTCTTTTTAGTTGGTGTTTATAGCTGCAGCTATAGTTTTCCCTCAAAGTTTTTACCCTAATATTAAGAACAAGTAGACAGATGCCATTCAGAATAACAAAAAACGTTTTTCAATGTACCTGAAGACGGAGAACGGTTGATTCAGCGAAAGAAAAACTCAAAGGGGCGGGCAGATGGCAGCACACGTGAACTCGGACCGATGACTCAACCAAAGGCAAATGGAAAATAATGTTTTTCTCTTTTGATTATGTTATAAAAGAAATGGTAAACGTTGTAGCTGTGCAACCCTGGAGTTAAGGATGCACTTGGGAGGATTGCTAAGCACTCAAGAAGCTAGAGTCGCACTTGGCTATCGCCTCGTGCGACTCTTACGCTTCTTTTGTGCTTAGCAACCTCTCGCGTGCATTCCATAACTCCATGGTTGCACGCTGCACCTTTACCATTTCTTAATTTTAACTTTGACAATTTTATAGGTAGAAGATTGTTAGACCACGACAAGATAACATTTGCCATAAAATATCTTCCCATGTCACATCTAAGGTAATGACAACATCAGTCAAGTGACTATTTCCGAATTAGGTTTTTTTTGTCATTGTGACAAGATTTCATTAACGAGTTAATTTAGCAAATAGCATATTCGAGGTTTTAGTTGTGTGGGGCATTTAAAAATAACCAGTTGACGTCCGGCATTTAAAATTTAACGGGTAATGAACATGAGCAAAAAAGTAATGAGTGTTGGCCGAGGGCTGTAGAGAGTCAAACTTTTATCAGATGGCAGAGAAAACTTGCGGAAAAGTAATGTTCTGTGCCTTATAATTTTTTCATGACCAAAAGAGGGACATGACGTTGTCAGTCATGTGATCAAAGCATTTTGAATTTGAAGTACTTTTTTCTTGTCATAAATTGGCAAGTTTTGCCTGTTTTTCTCAACAATTATTTACGCTGTATCGTCTCTGAGTAATTATTATCCAGTTTCAAAGCAGAAGCACACAAAAACTGAGCCAGAAGTTCAAAATTTGTGTTAATTGACCGATATTGCAAGTTAAAATGGAAAAGAAGACCTACTCTTGAGAGTTTTGTAAAATCCTTTTTCAACTTGACTGTTTGTTTGCCGAGATGAATGTTCAACATTTGTTAATAAAGGAGAACTTTGCAAACTAAAAGGATGTATTTGGCAGCCATATTGTTTTTCTTCATTCTGGGAGAGAGGTCATGTAGCAGCTCTTGTAACCCTAAAAGCCAAATGGTTTGCTACCCTAACCTAAGACAATGATTACAATAACGCGAGACTATAACTCCTGTTGAAGCAAGTAAAAAGAAAAATGAAAAAATAGTTTGGTCTAATTTGTATGGTGATTCGATTTACTTAAAACCTGGTAAATCAAAGTTTGAGGTTGGTGATAAAGTTAGAATTTCTAAGTATAAGAGAAAGGTATTTGATAAGGGCTACACACCAAACTGGACAGAGGAGATATTTGTAATTGATAAAGTTCTTCCAACAAAACCTGTTACATATAACATTGTTGATTTGATGGGAGAAGAGATTAAGGGTTCTTTCTACGAGCAAGAATTACAAAAAGCAAAACAACAAACATTTAGAATAGAAAAGATTATTAGGAGGGATAATAAGAAAAAAATGTCATTAGTGAAATGGAGAGGATATCCTGATAAATTTAACTCATGGGTAAGTTCAAAGGATCTGGTTGATTTTTAATACAAATAATGTATTAAAAATAAAATCCTATTATTTACTCAGTTTCCTCTTTATCAGATATAACTAAATCTTCAACCACTTGTTCAGTAACCTCTTCAATATCGCTTTGCTCTTCATCTTCCTCTTCAATTGTTAGTAAAGACTCTCTAGGTTTGAGTGGTTTGACATAACACTCATGTACTTTTATTTGTAAAGATGTAACAGTTTTACTTATGAAGATTCCTTCTATTATAAGTGCCATTTTAACATTGCAGTACTGGTTAATATATTTAAAAGGATTTAAATCATTCTTTCCCTTTGTCTTAAACTGAGAAAGAATTTTCTTTGATTTTTCAGAGTAAATAAGTTTTGCGTAGAGAACTGGTGCCGATGAGTGATCTATTCTTGTTTTCTTCTTTCCTTTCTTATCTGTATATTCTTCTTGTTTGAAATAAAATGGTGAAGATAGAGTTGATGCTAGATCTGCACCGTATTCATTCTCTAAATGTTGCTGAGAGAGAGTTGTTACATTATTAATAACATCAAAAAATGCTTTTTCTTTAGTATTCGGCTCACTATCTTTAGCCCAAAGACATACTGGCATACTATAACCAACTAACTTGTTTGTTTCTTGATTTTTCTTCTCATTAACGCCAAAGCTGAAAAGAAGTGGAGTTTTGATTACCAAAGCTCCCTTCTTTCCATTTGGATATTTGACTTCAATTGGGATATGTTTGTATTTGATCTTGCTATCTTTGACTTTGAATTCTTTGGCTTGATTAAAGATAATATTCTCTTGGGTAATATTTTCATAACTGGACAACTGCATTTTATTAATATTTAGTTAATCTTTAAATCATTTTTTAGGCCAGAGTAAATGAACCGACCAAAAGTTTGCCGATTCAGGATTAGTATAAGTTAATTCTCCCTGTTTCTTTTTAATTTTTGTAGCACGAGTAAGATATTTATCTCTTCTCTCTTTATCTTTGTGAATAGTGTAGTCTGGATATTTTGGTGAGCCAAAATGAATTTTCTTTCCACCTGGAAGTGTAGCCATGTATTTGTTATTTTTTCGTGATGAATAATCAAGAGATTCAGCACCGAGTTTTTTAGCATTTCTGGCTAGTTTTTAAAACTCTTTTCCACTAACAAGATATTTTTCATCTGGAACATAATCTGGATCCACATCATGTCTATAACCATCATCAACTATAAAATCCAAATCCTCTTTTGTAGGAGTAGTTTCTCTTGATCTTGGTTCTATTTATTAGTTGTTTATACTATTTTTTTTGCTGGAAACCCCCTAATACTATTATCTTCATAATATCCTAACACCAGGTAATTCATCTTCTTTAAACTTTTTTTCCCTTTTATATATTTCTTCATGTTCAATTTCTTTTACTTGCTCTGGAATATACATATGAGTAAACATGAGATATTTACAAAAAGGATCTAGTTGCTCATCATCCGCAAGAGCTTTAATAACACCAGTAATACTTATTTTAGCTGTATCAACAAAATTCTCTAAATAACAATAAACATAATGCAACCCATACTTATCTTCTTCAAAAGGAAAATCAGGATTTGTTGTTATATAACCAATATTATGAAAAATACCATAATACCTAGCTAATCTTTTTGCTAATTTAATCTTTTTCTCATCATTACTCTCTTTTAATTTTTTCATTTCTTCACTCATAGTTTTTTTTCTTTCTTCCTCTTTCCATCCAACCACAACTTCAAAACCTTCATCTTCTAATTCCTTTAATAACTCTTCCATTTTTTATCATATGTTTAAATTAAATTTGTTATTACTTTACTAGATTAATCTTATAACAAAAAAAATGTTATTAGATTAAAAAATAAATAATATTAATCACTATCAACTCAATCACTATCACTCTCACTATCAGTACAATAATCCCAAAAACTACCACCATCTTCATATTTTATTTTAAACTTACTACAAAATAATTCGAAATCATCATAAATATTTTTGAAACCAGGATAAGGATCAATAAAAGATACATCTTCATCATCAAAACAAGATTTACAAAAATTGATATATTGATTAAAATTAAGAAAATTCTTTTTAATCTTAATCAAGTTATCAACATCAATATTGTTAATCTCGAAATTGTTAGTATCTTGAAGTTTACCTCTTTCTTGACCTTTTAAAAATCTTTTTATAAAATACTTAATTCTAGCAACTCTGTGATTTTCAAATAAACCACGAGTTGCTTCATTTATGTTGTCAACAAAATTAACTTAAATTCCTTGTTAATACCTCTTATAAAAAGGTATTCTTTTTTGTAATCCCTTGCATATTCTGGAATTTTATTAGTTTTTTTAATGCAATTCTGGAAATTCGAAGACAGAGCCAGGATAACCATTTCTATAACTACTCTGAACTAATTCACTGATATTGATTATTATCGATTGTTATCAATTGCCATCGATTATCGATTTCATCGGTTGTAAAGGTCCTGTTTTGATTTGTTGACACGGTAACTAAAAAGGCTTTCTCTGATTCACGTATTCAATTAGGAAAGTGGTTCTCAACGTCAATCGCACCTTTAAGGTAAACGTATATGTTCGCCCACACTTCCTAGCTTTTGGTTGCTCATGATAGTTATGTATATCAAGTCCCTACGAGTATTTGGGAATGATGAAATTGGAACAAAATAAGAAGATTACACATTGTTATTACAGAGTTTGATTATTTTGCGTTTGAATTGATGTTGTGTTCAGGACGTAACATGTCGATAATTCCGATAGTCGATAAAAATAGATCGTTGTCGATAAAAGTCGATACTAATTAATCGACAAATATCGGAAATCCATAAAAGTCGATCACAAAATTTCTTGTGATTATCGATTTTGATCGACTTTTGGCGTTAGAGTTCGATTTCAATCGACTTTTATCAAAAAGTATCGAAAGATAAAAAACGATCATATGTAGAGCTATGTATGTTTCAATGTTTTATTTTGCACTGTAACTAGAGCTGAGTAGAGAGCTAAAACAAAGCGAATTTATTATTCTTAGTAGCCTCTGTTATCTTCCCAGTAAAAACTCCAATATGAAACAACTCACCGCAACTCATCACCGAAATTATTTAGAGGTCGAACACAAAAGTACCGGGAGATGTACTCCATTATTTTGCTCCTCGTCATCCAAAGGAGAAAAGCAAAGCACTGGCCTGTACAAGCCTGGACAATACAGTGGTGGATCCAGCAAACACCAATAACCGGCAATAATTGAATGAAAGTTAATTACATCTGAGTACTTTGTCTGCGTTTGTTCTTTATTTATCGCAGCATTTTCCTGGTATCTCAGGGCCAAAGATATATACATAAGATGTGTACAGGTGCTGACCAAAACAATCGCGGTACAAGACCGGAAAAAATTGCGAAGCGCAGAAGCGATATAGCCTGAATTTCATCCGATTACTTCGAGTCGTTATTACTCCCTCAGTAACGTCTGAATCGACCGGCCGTTAATGCTGTCCAGTGACGTCACTACTCCTTGACCTTTGCTTTAATTCATGAAAAAAGTAAAACACGATTTTCAAGTGGCAAACCGAGAAATCTCGTTTGGAAATGTCTGCACGATACAGAACTGCTTTATTTTTTCGATCGTAATTCATGTTTAACGTTCAAACTATCAACTGCATGCAGTAAAACTCTGAACCGGTTGTATTTCTATAATCAAACTCGGTCTCAATCACGCAATGAAATAAACACACACACGAAACACTTAGTTCAAAAACACAATGATTTGCTTTAATTGAAAAGAAGCTATTTGGTAGCCTGAAATTCATCAAATTGCTTCGAGTCGTTTTCTCCTCTCAACAATGTCTGAATCGACCAGCCGTTAATGCCGTCCAGTGACGTCACTCACTACCCGAAAACCGGGTAGTGATTTTGATTGGTTGATTGTCTAAACATTCGCATAATTATGTATAATTATGAAAAATTTTAGCGGGATTGTCATTTGATATTCAGCGGATCGCATCCCTGGCATTCTTTCGGTTAGTTCAAACATTTCTATGAGCTTAATCTTTATCTTAAACAGCAAAATTGCCCTTGTTTTCGAAACTGAAATGTTAAATTGAACTGCGAATGAAGAATCATCGCGGAGAGTTGGTAGGTGAGTTTTCATTCAGAGCCGCTTTGTGGTTTCGGCGGCCCGTGATTTTGTTTACGCGAAGTTTTCTGAATTTTAATTCGACCTTCTTGCTATTTCACCGTCGAGTGTGATGATTCTGTTAGCTTTTCTTTCTTTTCTCCTTGTTTTTTTCTTCGTTAAGGACCAAATAGCTTCTTTTCAATTAAAGCAAATCATTTTGTTTTTGAACTAAGTGTTCCGTGTGTGTTTTTATCATGTTTTATCTCATTGCGTGATTGCGACGGAGTTTGAATATAGAATTCAGTACAACCGGTTCAGAGTTGTACCACATGCAGTTGATTGTTTGAACGTTAAACATGAACTACAATCGAAAAAAATAAAGCAGTTCTGTATCTTGCAGACATTTCCAAACGATATTTCTCGGTTTGCCACTTGAAAATCGTGTTTTGCTTTTTGCATGAATTAAAGCAAAGGTCAAGGAGTCGTGACGTCACTGGACGGCATTAACGGCCGGTCGATTCAGACGTTACTGAGGGAGTAATAACGACTCGAAGTAATCAGATGAAATTCAGGCTAGCTATTTGGTCCTTAACGAAGAAAAAAAAACAACGAAACAAAAAAGAAAAGCTAACAGAATCATTACACTTGACGGTGAAAATAGCAAGCAGGTCGAATTATAACATTGACCTCAGAAAACTTCGCGTAAACAAAATCAACGGCCGCCGAAACCACAAAGTAGGTCTAAATGAAAAACCTACCGACTCTCCGCAATGATTCTTCATTCGCAGTTCAATTTAGCATTTCAGTTTCGAAGGCAAAGGCAATTTTGCTGTTTAAGATAAAGATTAAGCTTATCGAAATGTTTGAACTACACGAAAGAATGCCAGGGATGCGATCCGCTGAATATCAAGCGACGATCCTGCTAAAATTTTTCATAATTATACATAATTATGCAAATGTTTAGACAATCAACCAATCAAAATCACTACCCGGTTTTCGGTTAGTGAGTGACGTCACTGGACGGCATTAACGGCCAGTCGATTCAGACGTTGTTGAGAGGAGAAAACGACTCGAAGCAATCGGATGAATTTCAGGCTAGAAGCGATATTGAACGCGAGTGGTGCAAACCAAGGCGCATTTCTTCAGATTTCTTGAAGTAAACATTCGGTTGCGGATTGAAGATAACATATGTTTTTTTCAGGTTTTAATGCAACTTTATTCAGATTTATTGCTATTATCAGCGCCGTACAACTTTTTACCCTCACGATGCTTATACAAAGTATCTTCGTTCACTTGACATGTTGATGACGATAGAAATCGATAAAAGTCGATACACATCGATAGCCAGCCCTGAGAACTTTGTGATTATCGACTTCTATCGACAAATTAAACTAACCAATCGACAATTCTCGACAATTATCGAGCACTATCGACTTATCAACTAGCTTTCCGATGATCGATTTCGATCGACATGTTACGTCCTGTGTGTTAAATACAATTTTAAACCAGGTTGTCCTTCTTAACTTTGGCGTAGGAGTTAAGAAAAATACAAAATACAAAGTACAGTCGACTCCCGGTAACTCGAACCCTCTGCAACTCGAACCTCCCGTTAACTCGAAGTAATTTTCATTTCCCTCCAGATCATGTTCCATATAATTTCCCTCGATAACTGGAACTCCCGCTAACTCGAACTTTTTTCTATTTCCCTTGAAGGTTCGAATTATCGGGAGTCGACTGTACGTATGAAAGTCTTCTATAAACCACTGAAAACAAAGGACTAACCTTGAAGTTGATTGGAACATGAGCGCCATCTTAAGTGCCAAGTTTTCGCCCCAGTCTCCACCTTAAAAAACAAGCTCATCGATAAAAAACTGGGCACCAATTGCGTGTGAAATACTTACCAATAATGGCCGACGACAGGGAAGGAAGGAGTTCGAAAATAAATGTTGTGGTGAAAACCTCAAAGAGCAAGGAGACCATTGAAACTGAACCAACTACGACGATATTAGAGGTATTTATTTGTAATATTAAGAGTACAATTTCCCGGTAGATATTAACGTTAATGATTTTTTCCAGTTCAAACAGCTCGTATCAGCCAAGTTCAACGCGCCGGTGCCCCAGTTGTGTTTGATTTTTGCTGGGCGAATTTTAAAAGATGGAGACACCCTAGCGTCTTATGGTAGGTTTTATTTTTCCTTTTAAAAAACTGGCTATATCCTGTCATCAATCTTGTTTTTTTCCTTTATTGACAGCGATCAAAGATGGCTTGACCGTTCATCTGGTTGTAAAGTCTGAAAACAGGGTTTGTAGTGCTAACTTTTTGTTACGAGATTATGATTTAATAGTGAGAGCATTCACCGGCCAGACGACTCTCTGTCGAAATATTTTTCAAAAACCGATTTCTTTTCAGCTGGCGAAAATGAGAATCGTCTCCAAATACCGCGCTGAGACAAAAGTATTGTCATACAGATGAATTGTAAATTAAGAACCCGATTTTTTTCTTATGTAGAACTTTTTTTGTGGGGTAACGTATAAAACAAAAGTTTCCACTTTGGCCAATCACACGAGATGCAGACAATCCAATGAACCAATTAGATTTTTAGAGATGGTAAAAGACCTGACCAAACAGTTATAATAGTTGATGATAGTTAATGGTAGTTTTAACCTTCACCATGGTTTATTACTACACCTATCATTGACTGTCATGTACTCTCCTATTATCCTCCTGCGTTGATGTTGTTAGGGCTTAATCACACTGTCCCAAATGAAATTTTTTTCAATTTTCCCCAAATGTTTGCTGAATGGAACAGCCATTTTCTTTCAAAGTATTTTTGCCATTCACAGTGTAGACTGCAAAACAGTCGGTTTTTTTCTCAAAATCAGTAAAGAAATCGGTAAAGTGTGGCCTAAGAGTCTTACGCGCGCGAAGCGCGTGAGCCTCACACTCCCGTAGGGCGTGTGAGGCCAGAGAAAAAAAACCGACTGTCCGTTTTCCATACAATGAGTTCGTTCCGACCAGGGGGTTCAAAAATGTCGTCGAGCTGTCAAAAATCTGTTCGCAACTCCGCCCTCTTTGTGAATTTGATAGACTCGCGTGTTATTATTGACGCTGTAATCCAGTAATTCTAAAGCAGTTTTTAGCGTTGTTTCCCTGTGAATTGTAGTGTATATAGTGAAATGTAGTATATATAGTGGAGGATCAAAAATGAGTGAAAGTGGCAGTACGACAACAAAGCCTGTGCCTGCTCCTCGAAGAGGGAGAAAGCCGAAAGAGCCGAGGGCTTTGGACAAATAAATTGTAGAAGAATGTGCGGCTGTTGTTTCAAAACACAGTTTGGCAATTTTACAAATGGATGGATAAGCTCGGAAAATGCGTTTGTTGCGCCTACCAGAAAACAGGAAACGTTACCAAAGTGGGCCGACCTACTGAAAAACGAACTTTTCGTAGTCCTCGAGGACGGAGAATCTTTCTCCACTAGAGCAGTTTGTTCTCTGTGCGGAACAACGGTTAGCCTGTTCCAAGCGTTCAGATAGTGGAGAGCGGTGCAGAGTAAAGAAAGCGATGAAAAGTAGAGGGTCCCCACTATCTGAACGCCTGGAACAGGCTAAACAACGGTTAGAAACTGCCCCGGGAAACTGCACGGCGATGCTTTCGCAAATTAGAGAAGAACTGAACACGCCAACTGACAATGAACAATTATTGCGATTGAAGAGAATGAGTAAATCCCCTCATTCCATTAGCTCTGTAAATTACTATCTGTGAGAATTTAAAATCCTGCCAAAAACGCTAACGAGCTGGGCCCAGCGTGACAAATCATTGCAGGAAAAAGTCACATTCACGGACACAAAGAAAATCGCTTAAAATTATTCAAATCGGGGAGGCACTTTGGAGAAATAAAACAACCTAAAACCCTTAATCAGCGGCAATGAAGAGCTTTACATTTCTAAGGGGGCCAAGAAAGAAAATGCTCTTGCGTCAGAGGGCAAATCATGCCTACCAGAGAAAATCAATATGCGTGTCACGACCTCTCAGTATGAAATATATTTAATAAGCGGCCAAAATTCACATTTGCTCAGTCAAAACGTTTTCCTCCAAAGCATAATCTACTCGACAGAGAAAACAATTCATTGGAACAAGCGGCATGTTTGCATGAGGTAAAAGTCGTGTGTTTCCTACCGATCCCGCTTTTTTAGCCACAGAACTTGAAGAACTCTTTGCATGAACAAACATCCGATAAATAAGGCTTTTGTCAAATCCTGTTGGTAGAACACAGAAAACATCCTTCCCCCTGAGTAGCAACTCCAAAGCTTCCCTCTGCTCCGATTTTAAAACAAATCCCAATTCTTGCGAGCAAATCAGGGCGATCAACCTCTGTCATTTTACAGCGAAAGCTTTAGCAATTCATCACGGTATGGAACGATGTGAATGACTTGTTGAAAACATTACTTGACAGCTTGGTGACAGCTTGCATCGAAATTTAGCCAATGGGAATTGCCCGTGGCTGGGAGAAGCGGGTAATTCGAACGAATATAACGTATGCAAAACGGACAGTCCGTATTTTTAGCGTCTCTCCCCAGTCTCGCTCTCTGTTTTCAGCATCATTCCAGACCTTTTGTTTGACTGCTCGCGCGTACTTGAATACGCAAAAATACGGACTGTTTTGCAGTCTATTCACAGTGCAGTTTCCATTTCCTGGAAAACAGGACTTTTACCCACTGTCATTTTGTGTAACCCCTGAAGACAGAAATAAAGCAATGCTGTTCTCAGCAAAATAACATTCCAGATCTGGATGCTTTGGAGAAAATAAATGAATAAAATCTTTCTGAAATTTAGATTTTGTGGTTCAGTTTTATCTTTGGTTTAATTTTTATTTTCTTTTGTTTTTGGGTATATGGTAATTTATGATAATGAGTTTGATACAAAAGAAAATAAGTATTAAACCAAGGATTAAATAGAACCGCAATGTATACATTTAACAGGGATGAGATTCCGTAAAATGTAACAGGAAATGTCCACCTCATGCAAGAGCTTCAAGAGCTACAGTACCGCTCAAAAGTAAGTTGACAGTCAATTGTGTCTCGATCCTCGAGATGCGAGACTCCATTCTCGAAACTTTCAAGGATTGATTCTCGCGTCTGGGGGATCGGGTCTCGAGTTTCGATGATAGAGGATCGAGGATTGAGTTTTAAATTTCGAGTCGAGAAAGCGGTGTCTCTAAAAGTGTACACTTACCCTTCATTCTAAAAATCACCGTTCCGTGCATTGGGTGAGACTCGTTCGCTTTCGCGTAAACGAAGCTCATGCTTTGAAAGCGAAAATGTTCGGTTCTGGTCTCCTGTTAATAGTCCTTTTGAAACTTGCTTTTTAGAAGTGAAGGCGCGATACATATTTGTAATAGCTTTCAAAAAGTAAACAACAACGAAACAACTCATACTAGAAACGACCATGTTAATTTCGCTCGTGCACAGTATACAGCCGTAATTCTTTTTCACTTTCCATCGTTCTTACATCAGACATAGCAGTAAATAGATCCTCTGTTTGAAAGCGAACAATAACTAAACGACTCTGTAGATAATTGTACTCAAACCAAATTTTTCGACCATAAATCTTCTTTTATAGTTCCAAAACAAGATCACAGATTCACACGCTTCGATCCGAAATCTAGATCTTATCTATCTCACAAATCGACACCACGAGGTCTGTCTGACTGTCAAACTCCGACTCATGTGACAACTACAGTACTTTTCTGATTTTTAGCAGAGTGCCCGTGCCAGGCTCGTGCATTCCTTGTCACTTTCTGTCGTTTGATCGAAACAAGTTTGGACCTTTTTTTCAATACTCAAATGATCTTGTGTTAAAATCTCACCACAGCAAACAAAGTTTCTGGTGACATCAGCTAGATTTGCATAAAAGCCAGTTTTATAATTCACAGAGTCGCTGAGCCGTGTTTTCAAATGAACATGGTGAATGAAAGGTTACATAAATTATCTGAAATTGACTAATGGAAAATTTAATAACTCAAATACTCATGAAAAAGTCGCTTTTTGTTGCAAATAAAGTTTTCCGTGAAATTATTGTGTGACTATGTATAGATTTGCATATTTGCATACAGTAACAGCATGACAAACCATGGTATCGACTGAAACGCACAGGTGAAAATTTCGCTTTCTAGAACAAACGTAGTTTCTCATGACTTTATCAACATTATTTACATACGCCAAATGTGCGAAAAGCCACGGAATCGCCGAGTTTTCAAATAAAATTATTGAGTGAAAGGCTACATGTCCTAATAGTCAGGTCAAATTTGGCACAGAGCTTCCTTAGCACCTACTGATTAATACTGGAGGGGGTGCCCGTTACAAATGATCCAAATTACAGATAAAAGGGGGGGTTAACTTTCACCTATAATGGCAGATTGGGTGCCCTGTGGTGAGTACTCTTCTTGTTTGATTTGGCTAAAAAACATTTGTTGCAAATTTTTAAGTTTTTAATTTGGTAGTGTTTAGTTGTTGTTACACTATTCAAAATAGTTTTACATGTACATAATACTGACTAGTGCCCAGTCTCCACACGGCAAGTGTGGCCATGTTCATTGTGCGGACTGTGCGGCTATCAGTGTCACTGCTAAGACTTGCCAGTGATAATATCATTGCATATCAATTTAAACAGATCACAAAGCCAGCTTTCAAAGATGTCATACAATAACATAAAACGCAAATGTATCACATCCTGAACGACAGAATCGTTAAAGTTTGACATGCCACATGAACGACCTCATGAACCGTAACTGACAACGCGCCCACTTTGTAATTGTGCAGCTAAGATTAGATTATAATTTGCTTCGTTGGTAACCCTATCCTTGAGATAATGATTAAAACATGTCAACCTCGTCTTCAGGGGGAAAACGAGGAGCAAGGGTGGCACAGTTGGTTAGTGCGCAGCCATCGGGGCGAGAGGTCCCGAGTTCGAGCCCGGTGTCAACACCTCCTTATTTCAACTTCTCTTTTTTCTGTGTAACTTTGACTAGCTTTAAATACCCTTAAAACGGAGAATTAATGGAGAGAGGGGGTAAAAGGGGCGCACCGTTGACCTCAAGTTTATCACTTGTTATTACTGTCACGAGTTATTGACGTAAGATATGGTCGCTTTACCTTTTTCTACCTTTTTATTAAACCCTGGGGACGAGGTTGTAAAACATGCCTCTCCAGGAATTTTTAACACTCTTTATTTTGTGCACATTTGCATTTAAGGTCTCGGTAAAGGAAAACGAGGTGCCCACAGAAAAAAATTCTAGTCGCGCGAGTATTTTCGCTACAAAGGCAAGTTATATATCAAATTAAAGCTAAAAGACTAAATTACCTTATAAAAGATTTTATTTCATCGAATTTCAAAAACGCTTAAGTTTTTTGCTCTCGAACTCAGAGGTATCGAGTTTACTGCTGAAGCTCCAGGCCTTTCGCGTTGTTAAATATTCGCTTCCTTTTTATTGCATCTGATTGACAGATAAAAGACCTAAAAAAGCGTTTGAGGAAATTTGCATATGTCTCGTATTAGCGGAATTATTGCATTTCAAACTAAAAAGTCGAATCTCGAGCGCGATTTATGCAAAGAAACTGACATAAAATGAGTTACAAAGGGAAATCGGAAAATTCCTCACACCCTTTTTGAGTCTATATCATTATCCATCATATCTGAAAGTTTCAAAGCTATAGCTTAAAACCTGTCCCGACTGGAGGTCGGAGAATTTTGATTTTTGCGGCTAAAATAGAGTGAGAGAAAATCAGCTCTAAAGATTTAGCGCGAGGTCCACGCCTGGCTGGTTAGCTCAGAAAAGGCTCATTTTAGAAGGGTTAAAGAGCACTTTCTGATTTTCTTTTTCTGCCAAAATAAAATTTAGGACTCCCTCATGCCAAAAATAAAAAAAACCCAAAATCAAGCAATGTACTAAAATTTTCATTTACCGAGACCTTAAAAAGAAGTGTATGAGGTCCCTGCATGCCTAGACACCTGTACGCGGCTCATTCGCTTCAGAGCCCTTGGACCAGAGTGTTAATGGTAGGTCTATATGATCTTTCAAAAAAAAGGAAGGTCGTCGTGTGCGTTACAATTTACAAACAAACTAACTTCAGAAGAGCTGAAATTTACAAGAACAAGGCCTCTTTTAGCCAACCAATGATGCATCATTTATGAAAATGAATGTAATTTGTTTCATGCAATTAGGCGAATACCCCGTGGTTACGAAATCTTACGATCATGAATTCCTCAAGCGCAATTCAGTTACCAACTTTTCACAAAATAATGCTGTGGAAAATTACATAAAATACCAAAAAAGCAAGGGTCAACAATAATTGTGGCCTGGTCCCTTATAATAATCGAGTGGTCATGATAAAAAAGCCCATCAGCCCCAACTTTGACCACTCAAACAGATTTTTGACGGATTACATACTGCAAAACTTTGCATTCACTCATGCCTATGTTGCCACACCAGGAGCCTAGAAATAGGCTCCTGGTCACACCTCATTTTTATTGCTGAATATCATTCTAAAGAGCTTTACGAAATATTTTGTTAGTAGGGGTGTTTTGAACATGATTGATATTTAGAGATGGTGACAAAAATGAACACAGAAAAAGTCACAAAACGAGACGCATGAAACAACCGCAATCTAATATTCGTTTTACACCGATATAATGGCTTCTTTGGCTGCTATGCTGACATTCTTGAAGATGGCCGGTAGTATCACAGCTCGTCCCGGGTTAGGTATACCGTTTATTACCAGTTTCACGGTTCCTGAGACTTAGGGTTTGTTGACATAAAGGTGGGGGACCCCAGGTAGGTGAGGTAACCTGATTAGGTGGGGTAAAAAATAACCCTTGTTTACATGCAATCTTACAACCCCGCCATCCTGGGGTGCAGTTTCTCAAGATTATTGAATGGTCGCTAAGCATGTAAACAAGAAAAATGCTGGCAAACCACGTCTACGCTCAATTGCTGCTCTTGCTGCAGCCTTCAGTGTTGTGGCTTTCGAATGTTACCTTTAATAATTATGTGAAGCCACCCAGCGCCAAAGTGAATTTTGCACGAATTTGATGTATCACGAATCCGACCCCGACTAGCCTGGGTTTCCTCACCTTGAAACGTTGACATGGCAAAATTTGACCTCAGCTGAGAGGCTTACCTGGTGTGGCAGACCGGGCTACCCACCTTGAAGGGTGACCCCACCTGTCATGTAAACGTGATCAAATTAAAATGAGAGATTATATGGATAAGCGGGTTACCCCACCTAAGTGGGTTACCATTCCTACCTGGGGTCCCCCTCCTCCATGTAAACGGGCCCTAAAAGTTAGCCCGGCCCCCTTTCTACAGTTTCAGCAGTTAAACCATTCACCATTTATCATTTGAGTCAATCTTGTACACTTGAGTCTCACTTTTACGACTTGATAAGCTGTTATTATTTTTGGACATGAGTGTTTCAGTGCCAAATGTAGAGGCTTCATGACAAACTGTGCTGTTTTTTGAAGTTTGGGCTAACTTGTTTCCTTTTTACGTTTATGAGACCAGATTCTTTTTTGTTTGTTTTTGCTTTGTAAAGCTTAGACAAACTGCGGAAATTGTAAATGATATGACTTGTGCCACGGTGCTTGCTTCTCTGTCAAAACAAGCACTTGCGTCCAGCAGATAACTGGATAAAGAGAGACTGAAAGGCATCTAGGCCTATGTTAAGCTGAAAAATTAATTACCTCCCTAGGAAAGAACTATTTTGGGTTCTGTCATTTAGTTATTTGCTCTTCATGAATAGCTGTCATAAATCCTTGATAATATGTGATACAACAGACTCTTTGACAATTTCTTTTTTCTGAAATTTTGTGTGTGAATCACTATGCCATACGCTTTCTTCAGCTTAAAGTGACATGTAATGACAAGTAATACTTGTAAATAAGGCCTAAGCCACACAATAAGGCCTTCTCTAATTGAAATACATTAGAAAAGGAGAAGAGACCCCAGAAGCTGAGTACTTGCAAGTTACGAAGCAAAGACGAGGCCATCTTAGAAATGACTTATGAAAATGTGGGCGGACTGTGGACTTGCTTTAAGGGCACAGTAATAATCAACTTAATTATACAATCAATAAGCAAAAATGGATGGGAATGCCAGATGTTTGAGTGAAATTGTTGTTTACAACCTGAGAATAGAATTCAGAGTGATTTAAGGTATTAAATAACAATTTTCAATCAAAACACCACAGGGACCCCAGCAGGTGAAATTTGCAATAATTAAATCCTGTTTAGCACGCTTCAGTGGCATATTTGCAGTGGGCACCCCCTCTAATATTCATGGTACTGCCATAAGCTATCGCTGTGCAAAGTTTGGTGCTTTTGTCAACTCTGTAACGATCCTGACCCTAAGAGACCTGACTATAAGCAGCCTTTGCACAAAAGAAGTTGAAGCTTGACAAACAAGCAAATTTAACAACTCAAATGTCGTAATCTTCGTCAAGATTTGCATAAAACCGTGACAAGCTTAATTCTCAGAATGAATTACCGAGCTGCACCATTCATCTGTGAAAATCTCGGAACATGGCGAGCAAAGGCTACATACACTGTACATACAGGATAAATCTTCGAAAATGAAAATATCAATTTACACTTATTGAAAGCTTGCCAAACCCCGACAATTCAAGCAGTTACAGAACACCGCACCGCAAGCACTGATTGACGGTGCAAATATCTCAACGGCTACGTGACTGTACAACATCGTTCTTTTGGAAAACCTAGCTTCTTGGATCCTTGATCCTCAATCATCGAAACTCAAGACTCAATCCTCGCATTTCGAGACTCGATTCTTGCATCTCGAAACTCGAGGCATTTGAGCTTCGAGACGCGAGGATCGAGTTTTGAGCTTCGAGTGTCAACTCAACTTTTGAGCGGTACTTTTGAGCTCGGTGAAGAAATGAAAAATGATGTGATCAACATGTCGTGAGCACGGGACAAAGAAAAATCTGAGTCCCCCGCAGGAATTGAACCTATGACCTTCCGTACACTGGTCGGATGCTCTAACTGCTACAAAGGACTCGTGGCAAGCTGGGCCATAATTATATTCAAGGTTCATGTATGACATGCGTCCTGCCCAGTTGTACGGAAGGTCGTAGGTTCTCATCCTGTTGATGACTCAGATTTTTCTTTGTCTTGACATGTTGATCACATCATTTTTCATGTGATTTTGTAATTTATGAGTAATTTCTTTGTTAATGTTAAGTGTATTATTGGCAATATTAGCAAAATATAATGGACAGCCATGACACAGCCCCTTTGAGCGAAAGCATTTTTGAGGGATGTATGTCAACTGGAATTGAGGCCTTTTCTCTTTTAATAATAACTTATGCCCTAGTAGACAGACATAAATGTACCAGAGTTACGGTTGTGCACACTGTGAAAACCTTTGAATTGGGAGATCAGTGCCCATTTTCAAGGCCTTGAAAGACCTGTAAACACTAGAAAATATGCTCTTGGCGTTGATCCTTGAAAGCCCTCAAATTTTCACTGAGCCACAGTTTCACAATTTCAAATATTTGATATTAAAAAAAAGCGTAGATGAAAGTATGCTGTAATCAGCAAAAATGAGATTCTCTGGGATCTAGAATGGATGCGCTTTTTTTTGTGGAACATATTGAACATGAGCATTATGCTGGCTAAATGACACATGCTCCATTTGAACAATATTTGTGTTGTTTTTTCAATTAACATGTTTATGTATATCAGTTCATTCATGTGGTACTGTCTGGTTAAAAAAACGTTGTTACTTAACGCTTAAGCTCCCTATTAACTATCATGCTCTTTGAACATGTTCAAATGTGTATGGCAGTCAATGACTACAACTTTGTGGTTTTGTTTATGGTAGTCATTGTAGTTTTTTTTGTCAGCTGTTTCTCATTAAAAAGTGGACACTCTGAGCAAGGGCACTCTCAGGATAGTATTTGTCCGTCCTGATATTGAGAACAAGTGTGCAAAATAAGATAAAAAATTAATTACAATCTGTATTTAAATACGTGAAGAGCATCCACATGACAGCATATTTATCATTCCTCTAGACCTAAGCGAGATATACATGTATGAGAGTGAACGTGCAATTTCTAGATCAAAGAACTAATCATTCTAAGCATGAACTGGTTGTTTTTGATTCAGTTCAGTTAGTTCCAATCACTTTTTATTGAGCTATTTAAATAGCTCATAATTTATGTCAGTGGTCTGAGCATAATTATGTATCGTTGTGTCTCTGTCTGTTTGGATGTGTGTTGCAGAGGCCAATAAGGTTGAAGGTACTATAAGTTTATGCTTAGGAGTCAATGAGATTTAGGCATCTAAACTTGACACTGCTAAAGGTCAAACAAGGGCACTTTGAGACGGCCATCTTGATTGTTCACAATTTTTTCATCTTTTATTAGAGCTAAAGGTGTTTAGAGGCATGACATTTAAATATATTCATGATTCAAATACTGAGAACAGTGATGTGTGGGTGCTACTTCAAGACAGTTCTGACCTAATTCGGCTATCGCGAACGGTGCAACGCACTTATTTCATAATTTATGAGTTCTGTTTCACCTGCTTCAAGGCAGAGTATAAAAGATCATAATTATATTTTTCAAAGTTCTTCCACTGAAACAATAATTGATATTTAGATATGAACTTTAATATTTTGGAAGTATCAGGGGTGGATCCAGGATTTTTTTTAGGAGGGGTGCACTCGTCTCTTGCTCTACTTCAACAACAGTAAACCACATAGTTTTTTTTTTGCAGAATACCAGTTGTATTAGAAAACCGCAGGTCATCTCGGGGGAGGGGGGGTGCGCAGCCCCTGCACCCTCCCCCTAGATCCGCCCCTGTTTTGAAAGGAAGCTTCTTTTTTTTTTCGAAGCTGTACCTAGTAAGTAGTAAGATGCTTAACTTAAGTAGAAACAATAGCATTAGGGAGCATTCATTTTTTAGAAGGGGGGGTGGGCCGGAGGAATTCAGGGGAGGGTCATTAACTTTTTGCCTGCCCAAAAAGGGAGGGTCAGCATAAATTTGACACAACAAAGAGGGGGGGTCACTTATTTTTTTTTAATAATTATTATACAAGTTTATACAAACTGATCTTTGAACCCTTAACGTTACAAAGCTAATTTGAGACTCAAATGAACTTTGTGCCACCGAAATGTATAAAAGCCCCAGTCGCACCAACTGAATTGATTATTAGATGACAACAACAACAACAACAACAATTTTTAATATCTGAAAGAAACTGTTAAAGAGAAGTTTGGTTAACACAGACTGGTTGTTAAAATAATGTCACAGTTCCATGTCTGTCACTGATCAGTGTGAGAGTCACTTAGGCTCTCACTATCAGATAAGGCCAAGGATGGTGGTAAGGAATCAGAAAATGTAGGCCTTAGCAGCTTCTGAGAATCGGTTGTCTGACTTGAGTGTCTCATGCAAAACCTTTGCCTCCCTTCTTGATAAGCTTACTAATGCTGCAATGAAAATGTCTTCCACCCCAATAGTTATATCAACGTTGTCATGGTTGACCCTTGGTAAAACCTTTTCCAGAACTCTTGTTTTTGCATTCTCCATCCTGGGTAACTTTCGTTTGATACCATTCCTTTTGTTTTGCTTCCTCTTTCGAGCTTTGGAGGTAGATGGCTTGAAGACCAAGCCCTTGGATGTGCTCTAGTAACTCCTTTAGCTTTTCATCAACCTGAGCCATAAATGCTCAAGCGTTTTGACCTAGCTCATTAAGCTTGTTCACTGTAGCAGAATTTAAGTCAGGGTGAATAGATTTCCCAGGAGAAAGGCACCTACCACTCTTATCAAAAAGGCCTTGATCCATGGCTACCACTTTGTTTTTGAGCTTCTTTACTTCAGTTTTCAAGCTAGTGAGCTGATCCAAATGTTTAGACAAAACAGCAAAATCACTGGCTCTTGGAATATATGAAGTGGTAAAATACTTTCCACATGCAGCTGGATTGTCTCCTTTTTTGAAATCCAGTTTCTGTTGCAGTGTCCCCACCTTTCTGTTGGTTTCATATTGTCGGCTTCTCTCTGTCATGAACTGGTTTCTGAAATAGCTATCTGAATTGCAATAAGGCCAGACTGCCTTATAAAACCTGGGTAGAAGTTCCATATATGCTATTGATCTTTCACCTTTTGGAGAGGGAATATAGCCCAGTAATTTCTTTTTCTATGGTTTTCCAAGGGCTTTGTCGATCCAAGATAAAAAACTTTGGCTAGCTTTGGGTTTATCCCCAACTGCAGTGTTATTACTTTTCCCCTGCTTTTTGACGAAAAGCGTCAGGCAAAGAAAGATGAAGAAACAAAAGGTTACGGTGACTATAACTGGGAGGAACTCTACAAATCGGAAACCTTAAAAAGCTGAAGGTTGCTGAGCTCAATAAATATATTTTTCGCCACAACTTATCAAGGAGAAAAATGTCCAAATCAGAAAAACTTAACCTTCTGTCAGCTCACATCAGCAAAGGTTTATGTGAAAGGATCTTGACATTGAGTGCTGCTGAAACTGCACTAGCAACGGAAGACTCGGATACCCAGTCAGAAGATGATGATGTCAGTGTCAGCGAGGACTCAGAAAGTGAAGATGAACTACTACTGGAATTTGGGGATGCAAGCAACTCAGACGAAAATGATTCAAAGGACAGCGAAAGTGAAGAGGAAGATGAGTTGCCTGAAGGGGCCAGGGTAAACCGTTATGGCAGAAAAGTAGGCAATTGGCGGTTGCGTTATTATAGCTAACAGGTGCGTCTGTGTGAAGGACCACGGGATCGTTGCACAATCCAGCCACAAACCATGTTTGCCAGGAGGAAGGGGTGGGTCACTATAAATTTTACTGCTTCCTGGGGAGGGTCACATTTTTTAACAAAAAATATAAAGGGAGGGCTGGGAGATTTTACATTCATGCTCATAGGGATTCCTCCGGCCCACCCTCCCTTCTAAAAAATGAATGCTCCCTTAGGGGATAAAATTAGAGAAAGCTAGTTGACAAAAAAATTAGATATTGTTTTATTTGATAATTTTCTTGAAAGTAAATATTAAAATGTAGGTTATCAACCTTAACATTGCGTGTAACATAATTTAATTGCAGATGTTGTTAAGCCGATTTGATTTCTTAAAATGGTTTGAGCAGTTTTCTAGTGAACAATTTACTTTCTTTTAGGTACGAATTGTAAAAGAGACAAAGTCCAACATGATCTTCACGTGCAAATTGTGTGCAGAAGTTATTTTTATAATGCTGCTTACTAAATTATTGTGTGATAATTCGAATTCCCTCATGTACAAAGCACACAAGGGTGAAAGTCTAACACTTTCTCGTGCTAGCTGTGTGACTGTACATCTCCTGCAGACTGGTTTTTCACAGTAATAATAGTAACTTGACCATATGAAGACCTCTTTAGTTCTGTAACTAGTGCCTTACATGTATGTAAAGGCTCTTTTCTTTTAAGAAGCAATAACTTATACCTGTAGAATCAAGTCATCAGAGTTATAGACTTTTTCATTAAGTAGAATAGCTTGTGACAACCTCAGGAATAATGATGATGCAACCATCTACAACTATGATGAAAATCAAGACATTTCTTAGCTATTCGGTATTCAACAAGCTTCATTATCTTAAGAAACCATGAAGAGACCTTGAAACCTTCAAGTCTTCCCTCTAAGCAATGTTTGGTGAGTTGATATTCATATAAGTACTTAAACAATTTGTTTATTTTCATCAGATGTCTGAAGGAAAGACAAAGAAAAGTATGAATCTTTAGTATGAGGATCGACTCGACTGTGCACAACGTTTCGTGTTTTCATTAATGTACAGCAATACCCAATTATGCATGAAAAATAGTCTAAATTTAGAATTAAAACAGTAGATTGTTTATTCAGTTACACTAAAGCATTCAAAATAGCTCTTTGTGTTACTTCTGGTTTGTTAAAAATCCTGAAAAGTTGCATTGATAATTTATAAAGTGAAGCAATTATATGGCAGGGTGAAGATGAGCTTTCTAAAATTATGCACGCAGCAGTACTGATTTATGGATCAAAATGTAACAGTTCATGTTTAAAAGTGCAACATTGCTTAATAAGAGCCAATGTCGGAAAATCTCCAGAATCTCAAATCAGTTCTAAAAATTTGAATTTTAGCTAATACCACCCAAACAACCCTTTAGGTGAGCTATTTCAAGAAATGATATTAAGAAATCCTCAAGCACTTTACGTTTTGAGAAATTTGGAAAAGTTCAAAAATTTGATATTTGCGAAATTGCTGCACGTGCATTTATCAGTTACCTAAAGCTTGCTTTGCTAAGACTGCATAAAAATGTCTCGCAAAATGACTTTTGTAATATAGTTCTGGGCTTTCATTGTTTGCACCTTGATTGTGTGCTGTGTTGGCGGTCGAAATAATGCCCAACTTTAACCGCAAAGTCGATTCTGGTATGTCTCAAATTTAAAATATGATTATACTATATGAAAGAGCTGTTTTTCATTTAACTAGACCTGAAGTTTCAGCTCTGCGAATTTGAACGCTTGCGAAATATAAAATTTTAAATATAGCCCCTCGGGCCACCATAAGGGACAAGAAAGTGAAATGTAAACAAAGCAGAAACCATTTAAACAAAGGACAAAATCACACCAGAGTTATTTCTAGCCCACCAAAGTGCAAGGAAATGTTGGAAATTTCGGTATCTAAATAGGTATTACTATCTGAAAAGCTAAAAAGGCGAAATTGGCCGTCGCAAAATATAAAAAAAAAAAACCCTGAAATATGAGCAACTGAGAATCGTGTCAGGTATGTGACATTAATTCTGAACTCTGAAGTAAGAATGCTTCCGACTGGTCAAGTCCAAAAGGCTTCAAGAACTGTTTTCGAAATGCCCCAATAAACTATCGACAAACTATGCCAGTTGAAAGATTTACTTTAGTAAAAATAAATATAACAAGAAGTCAGAATCATGATTACAAATGACACTTCTACAAAATGAGTTTGCTCGTGATGCAAGGCTCTGCAGTTCACCTTCATAACATGACTTAAACACTGGCAGATAACTGAAATTTCAACATTCCGCTGATTTGTATATAGGTTGCGGCTTAAAGTTGGTTCCAAAAGAGACGTGTAACTTGGTGTCATGTTACGTGTATGGTAATTTGTATACATTACCCTGGAGCCACTTCAAGCGATCTTCCACAGGGTACACATGACACATGCTTTCACCTGTAGCTCTGAAGGTGTGTGAAAAAATGTTTTCACACACAATGTTTTATGTTGTGTTTATGTCACTATGGCCCCGCTCTATTAGGATTTTGATTTCAAACTGACCTCGGCGGGGCGGGCGGGGTAGACCTTTTCTTAGCATGGTCACACATTGGTCACGCTCTACGTCCAGTTTTTATGCTCTGATTGGTCAAAATTTGACAGGCGAGTTCATGCGGAAACTTTATGCAACATCTTGAAAGTTGTTTTCTTTGACAGCTGAAGCTGACAGAGTTTTGTGTCAACTTCTGATCTTTTTAACTGTCTTTTTCCTCTGGATGTACAAAATGAAATACAGCTGCTATCAAGAGTCTTCTGTTATTCATGGCTGGTTTGTTTACTGGGTTTTTGGTTGAGAAAAGCGTTGCTTGTCAAAATTCGGTAATTCGATTTCGGATGAGATCATTTTCGTTTTTCACCTTGCTTTATGCATAAGAGGGTTTAAAAGTCTCAAGCAACTGTGATAGCTTTCAGGAACTGAATCTTGAATGGTAATTAGCCTGAGTAATTATTGTATTTCATGTTTGTTTTTGTTATATCTAATTTCATGAAGCACAGTTTATGCGGCAAGTTTATGCACATTTGTAGGGTTTGAGTCAATGATCTGACCTAGTATCAGGTTTGATATAAGCTTACAGAACTTTAAAAAGCCTTCAGATATATTTTCACACTGCAAATAGAGAGAAAATGTTCCAAAGAGTATTTAGTTATAAATTTGGCTGTAGAAAGAAAACTTTGAGTGATTTTCTTGCTTCAAGGAGTTCGTGCAGTAAACACTGCGCCGAGAAGCCGGCTTAAAACATGACTTAAGCTTTACGCTTAAAGACTCAGGATTTGTAGAGACACTGTAATACTTGTCTTCGTGAATGAAGATTGTTGTCTTGGTAAATGTTTCACCGAATTTTATTTCTTTTATTGATTGTTAGTAGTCTTTCTTGCAATTTTAATTGCATGTCTGTGCTGTTTTTTCTCATCGTTCATGAACATCGCTTGCAGGAGTACTCAAAAATGTTGCGCGTATGAAACGCTTTATAAGATTACACATCGTTATAACTGAAACCATTAAATAACAAATAATAATAATAATAATAAATTCGTTATTATGTTGAAGCGTAACTCTGTTGAAGTTCATTCAAACACTCGACCACACTGACAGCTCGCACTATAGAAATGAGAACCAGCTGGCTGTTTGGGTGATTTTGGAAATTTTTTCAACGGTTTCGCTTAAAGCCAACGATTGTTCGTCCTAAATATTACTGAGTGTAATTTGTCTTGAAAAATTGTGAAATACGGCATTCTGTCTGAGGTCTATATGATAAATAGTACTGTTTCACCTCAGAATTATAAAAGGTTGGTTTACACACCCCCAGATTTGTTGGCAAGAATTTGTATAGTAAACCTGTCGAACGCAAAAAAATTTGGCCTGATTTGTTTTCCGAGAATTTGTTTTCGAGGCCTAATCTACATATATACTGTGATCTTGAATGTGATCGAAAATGTTTGCTATTTTTTGGGTGTACATATAAGGCTATCAATTCGATGTAAGATGTTTCACTCTTACATGACTTAGCTTTTCCCTCAAAAGTCACATGAATGTGCCCTTAAGTTAACTGACTTGTGGATTACAAGTTTATTGTTCGATTTGAGTAAATTATAAATTTATTAATTGGAGCTTCGCTTTTAGCCCTGGCTAAATCTATATATTAAGGGGGTGGAAAGTCACTGTCCTGGTGAGTGTACTCTTCAGGAAGCCTGCTGTTGACAGTGACTGACATTTCAATAGCCTGTGCAGTAGTTAATGTATTAATATAGTGCATGTACTTTGTTAAGGTTTATGAGCGTGTACTTTAATAAAGTCCATAACTTGCTGCTGTGTCTATTTTTATATGTTTTTGTTTTCTCTTTGTTCCTGATTTCTTATTTTGTTTTGTCCATTTGAAGTGCAGGTAATTATTGTGTTCATTACGGTCATCTTTCAGGCTCAGCAACAGGCCGCTCAGCATTCTACCCAACAAGTAAGTAATTAAAAAAAGGTTTCTATCACTGTGACTTTCAATTTGTTAATTTTCTTTTTGAAGTTCTGAGTTTTCAAACAGTGATTAAAAGCATGATGAGGTTTCCTAGTGACTACTGTAAATCTTTGTCCTGTTAATTGAAAATACATGGTGTTATTGTTATTCATTTGTTACAGTTGTCATTGTGTACGGCTCACGCAAGGGCATGAAATGAATATTTCAGAAGTAGAAAGATGATGTAAATGTAAGAGTCGTTGGCATTAACACCTTAAAAACCTTTGAATTGGGAGATCGGTACCCATTTTCAAGGTCTTGAAAGAGCCGTAGACACTAGAAAATATGCTATTTGCTTTGGTCTTTGAAAACCGTCAAATTTTTACTGAGCCACAGTATCACAGTATCAAATATTTGTTAGTTTAAAAAGCAAAAAATAATTTGAAGTATGCTGTAATCAGCAAAAATGAGATTCTCTGGGATCTAGAATGGTTGCCAATGCTCATTTTGGTGGAACAGAATGAATGTGAACATTATGCTGGCTAGATGAACAAAATGTATATGACACATGCTCCATTTGCTCCATGTTTATGTACATCACTTCATTCATGTGTTGCTGTCTGGTCTTTGTTTTGAAAGTCTGTTTGCTTACTAGTAGACAGGAACACATAAAATAATATAATTTTGTCATTTCACTCACTACCGTGCAATGTTGATCAATCACCAGTATTCAATAGCAAATTAAATTCATACCCTTTCAGTGATTTTGATATATTAGCAACTGATTTCAAATACTTGCTGTCTTTTTTCCCGCAATATTGAATTGAGAGCTTTTTTCTCTCATGCCTTGACCAGTGTATGAAGGTGACAAGTCAGTGATGTTTTTTTTTTTTGGAGGTACAGGGCCTCTTGGAAAAGGCGGGTAATTATAAAAGTTTGAAAAGCAGCTCACAAAGCATGATATCATTCCGTCTCTGTGATCACCCAGGCTAAAGAAATTCTTACTTGCTTACTTACTTTTACTTACCGGTACTTCCTCCTTTTAATTTTCCCTAACAGCTAGATAGTTTTTCCACTTTTTTTTTTGTGAGTTTGTAAGTGCTTATTTTGGCCCTTTCTGGCAACCGGCATTATTTTGGAGGTGACCACCACTGCTAAAATGGAATATTTTGTAGTCAAGTTGCTACGAAAAATGTTACTGTCATGTCTGTTGTCACAACAGGAAAAGGCAAATTAAAGGCGTCCCAGGGTGGCTTTACATTTATATGTTTTGGGTTCAACATAATTTCATATTTTCATCAGTCCCCTTCAAGTACACCTTCATCGACTCAAAGAAGTTCACAGTCAAGCCAAAATACATCTCCATCAAGCCACGGGTTAGCAGGTATAGATGGACTCGGAGGTCTTGGCATGTTTGGCAACTCAGGAAACCTTCAGCAAATGTCTCAACAGGTTTGTTCTTAAATCAAAATCTAATAAAACTCAATTGCATTATAACCTTAACTAACTACACATTAATTACAGAGGATTTTTTAGTTGAAAAGCATAAAAGTTGTCACAGCCCAGAACAGACTGGATAGTGTCACCAAGGTCGTCTCACCATGTGTATGGATATGTTGCCACTGTAAAGTGATGTTGATCTCCTGAAGTTCTAGAAAAAACTTTTTTTTTAAATTTCAGCTGATGTCAAACCCAGACATGCTGAGACAAATGATGGACAATCCCATGGTTCAGGTAATGTAGGAGTTACTGTAAAACTTTGTTGGAGACTGCAAACAGGTGCCAATGTGTTTCTCATGTTGTACATTGCATACCATTTGCCTGTCTGAGTGACTACTATGCAGGACCAAGAGAACCCTCAGGAGACAACTTGATTCTTGTTTAGCACATGCTTAAAATTATTTAGTTACTGCAAAAGGCAATAACCTAAAATGAGCTACATTCATGCTATCTAAAATAAAACGATAAAAAATGAGAACATTGGTGTCCCAAATGAAATCCAGCCATGTTGAAAACCACCCAACTGAGTGTCTGGTGTTGGTTAAAGGTGAGACTTGAATCTTTTTTTCCTTGCCTATTGGTCTATTCCTTTGGTACCCAGCATTTAGAAATGGTTACAGATAGGTCAAAGCAAAAGAAAGATCCAATTTATTACAGTTAACTTTCTGTCATTTTTTTTTCTTCCAAATGTGGTTCTAGCAAGTGAAAGTCCTAGATGTGACTGGATCTGGGTTGCGGGGAATAAAAATTGATGTAAATGTATTGGAAACTAGTATCAGCTATATAAGTCAGATCACAGCAGTTGTTTACGTGTAGGTGCATGATAATGACACAAGGCCTGTTGGCTGTGCTAGAAATTTAGGTGTCTGGTTCAATGAAAAAATGTCCATGTCACATATCGCCAAGGCATGCAGTAGTGTGTTCTTTCATTTACATAACATCAGAAGTCCTAAGAAATATCTATCTGTGGATAGTCTACAAACAATTGAACATGCCCTTAATCTTATTACCACTCAACTTGACTATTATAATAGACCAAAATATGTGCAAATCTCCAAATTACAGCATGTCCAAGATGCCACTGCTAGACTAATAATTATGTCCATAATCATTATGGACATACCTAATATAAGTTCTCACACATATGCCAGCTCTCTATGAACTTCATTTGGCTTCACCTGTTGTATCAAGTTTATCTTGTCTTAGTGATTTGATACAGGTTAAGCATAAGAGATTATATGCATTATGCTCGAACAATAGCCTATTATTAGAAGTCTGGCCTTAGTGATCACGGCATGTTTATCACAGTGAGGAAAATTAGTGCGTGCAAACTACCACCAAGGACAGTTGAATGCGGGAATTATGCAAAGTACAATCCTTCGGCTTTCTGTGATGATGTAAGAGATATCCCGTGGGATGATGTTCTGAAAGAAAGAAATGTAAACACTGCCTATACTTACTACTTGTAGTATGTATATATTAGTTTTTTTGTTTTTTGTTTTGCGAGCTAAAGTGCCACGACACTTGAATAAAGTTTATTATTATTTTTATCATTATTATTAACTGGAAAGAGCTTTTTTTGAATGTTTGTGATTGACACGTACCTTATTAGTGAAAGATAGTACCAGGAGTGAAGTGTCCATGGCTCTCTGGTGAAACTAAAAAGCTTATGAATCAAAGGGACTTTTTCCTACAAAAAGCTAGAAGGTCTGTAGCTGAGGTGGACTGGAATGCTTATCGCTGACTACAAAATCAAGTGTCAAATAAAATCAGGAATGAAAAACGTCGCTATAATAGGAATGAAATTCAGGAAAATCTAGATAGGCCCAAAGCCTTGTGGAAAACAATTAAGAACGTTTTTCCAAGCAAGAAAGCAATTCCAGAATCTATCAAGACCGAGGAGGGACATACAATTACTGATCAGTCAACTATTGCCAAGGAGTTTAATAATTTCTTTACAAATGCCTTCGCTAAGCTTGTGGAAACCGCTCAAGAGCCCATGGGCACTCGCAAGTTTTCCGGTGACAACTTTAAGGATCAGATATTGTGTCTATTACCAGCAACGGAGAGTTTTGTATTTAAACAATTGAAAGGCTTAAAGGTGAAGAAAGCTACGGGCTTGGATAGAATCCCTGCTTGCTTGCTGAAAGACAGTGCTGCTGTTATCACCCAGACAATCACTTTCTTTGACCACACTCTCTTTGACCACAGGCATTGTACCAGATAAGTGGAAGCAGGCAGGAGTTGTTCCTCTACACAAATCAGGTGGACGGAAAGTTATGGACAATTACCGGCCTATCTCGATCCTACCTCTTATCTCAAAAATTGCTGAAAAAGCGGTCAATGTTCAACTTCAATGTCTTTACATCAACATGGCATATTAAATTCGTTTCAGTCGGGGTTTAGACAACACCATTCGACCTATACAGCGGTTACATATTTCTGTGACATTAGAAGAAGCACAGGTGCAGGAAAACTAACCGGGGCCTTATTTATCGTTCTAAAAAAGGCCTTTGGTACTGTCCCCTGCAGATGCGGGAAAACTAACCAGGGCCTTATTTATCGATCTAAAAAAGGTCTTTGATACTTTCCCCTACGATGACCTCATTTGCAAGCTCAGAAGATTTGGCTTGGAGGAAAACTCTCTCACATGGTTAACGAGCTACCTAACTTATGGAACTCATGCTGTTTGTGTCAGACATGAACTATCCAGTCCAGTGCCTGTCCTTAGTGGCATACCGCAAGGCAGCATCCTTGGCCGTGTACCGTTCACCCTTTATATAAACGATCTACCATCCTGTATCCAACATCATGATAACACAGTGATCTATCTGTCATCCACATCCACCTTGGACATTGAACTTAAGTTGAACCTTGATCTCGCTAATTTGTTGTGTTTTTTGCACACTCTGATTGGCTATTCAATCAGTGAATATCCTGCACTATTCACTGATTCACCTCCAGTTCTTCTGAGCGAGCGACGCCAAACTCACGTAACTTGCGAGCAAATAAAAATTAATGCCTTCCTTGTTTGCTGCCGTAACAAACAAAGAAATTTGACAACTAATCAAGCAAACGGTTCCCGAAATACACGAAGAAGGTTACGAAGTTCGGTTTAGAAGTTTTAACCGGTAAAACTTTGTCTTTTTGACTCTAATTTATCAATAAAACTGGTGAAAAAGTTTTTTGTTTACAAATGCAAATTAAGCTTAAGTCTTCTCGCATTCTGTGAGTGCGGATATTTCCACTTGGTCGAGAGGTTCCCGAGGGAAAATATTTACCATGCAGGGCGAGAAAACTGTCAATTAATAGTACATGGACAATGCAGTGAAGGTCTTATATTACTCCACTAGCTTCTGAAACCACTAAATTGTATACAATTGAAGTTCAGGTCTCAGAGGTCACTTCAATCTTGTTTAATGGGACTATGTGGCTGTAATCTTTAAGAAAAGTTGGGGTGTTCAAACGGTATTCATGATGGAAAGAATTGACATCAGATACGCATTAACAGAAGTGGCAAGAGACAAAAGATTTGTTGAATCGTTGCAATGAAGATCAGAGTAAACATTCTTTGCTCAGGAGAACTTGGCGGCTTGTGTTGTCGATGGAATGCATACCATCAAAACTTGGACATGATTGATGAAATGAAACACTTACCAGGGACATGAATCTGAAAAAACCTTTCACTGTTGTATTATTTGCCGTTTGGAGTTAACCTGAGGTCTGTTGTTTATGTCTTGTTACTGCAGTAGAAAACTTGTCGGTACAGTTTGTGTTCTGAAGTTTAGGTCCACTTAGTAAGACATGTCTGCTCTAAAAACGCTTGCACTGCTTAAGGACTCTCCACTTGATGGTGAAAGATTTGTTTTTGTCATTGAGTGTACTTGTCCAAATGTGCTCCGAGTTGATCCGAGTCCATTTTTATTTTATTTTTATTTTTTCATTCGATCCGAGTTGGTCCGAGTCGATCCGAGTTGATCCGACCCGGACTGGCGGTCCGAGTTGATCCGGTCCGACTTTTGTATCTGCCTCTTAAAATTTGTGGCAAGGCCCACGTATGAGTCTGATGATGTTTGTGTTGTGACTGTGGCTTGGTAAACAACATTTTGTGTGAGGCATTTACCATTTACCGTGTCGTTTACCAAGCCACAGTCACAACACAAACATCATCAGACTCATATGTGGGCCTCGCCACAAATTTTAAGGAACGCTACAGGAATCATACAGCATCCTTTCGACGCAAAAGCAAGATGAACGAAACTGAACTATCTAAACACATTTGGACACTCAATGACAACAACAAACCTTTCACCATCAAGTGGAGAGTCCTTAAGCAGTGCAAACCTTATAACAGTATTAGCAACAAATGTAATTTATGCCTATTTGAGAAATATGTAATCATCTGTAAGAAGAATTGGTGCTGTCTAAACAAGTGTAATGAACTAGCAAGCTCATGCCCACACAGAACCAGATACCTACTCAAGAACTTTGTTATCAAGTAACACAATCTTTTTGCAACACACGATTTATTTTATCACCTTATCACGCCTTTCATCACCAGTACTAAATGTCACGTAGCATCTATTTTTTACTGTTTTTATATCTCATAGCAACCATAACGTCGCTTTTACTATAGCAACTGTTTGTAAATACCATAGCAACTCCAAGTTAGCTTTTATTGCCAGTTCTTGTAATTTAACGGTCATTCGTGAATATTGCCTGATGATGAGTGTGGCCATTCTTTGACCACACGAAACAGCGTTGTCGCAATAAAACAATGAATTGAAATCTTACTACCATTGATTATTATAGTCACTGCTCCTCCCAGAGTTGAGCGCTGTCCAAAATTTATCCTATTCAAGTTTAAGAAGTATATATATATATTTATTTATTATATAAACTGCAGTGTTTTACAAGGATTTCTACCACCGAGAAATGTGGTATCTGAACACACGTAAAAATACGACATTTTTACATGGCATATATACAAGTCTCATGGCAAGAGCAATATCTCACTCGTTCGCTGCGCTTACTCGTGAGATATTGTTCTTGCCACTCGAACATAAAATTCATATCTTCTCGCCACTGTGTAATATTCTCTCTCTCTCTCTCTCTCTCTCTCTCTCTCTATATATATATATATAATGATCAATAGTAGTAAGATTTCAATTCATCGTATTATTGCAACAACATATATATATATATATTTTATCAACAACAAATTAACAACATTAATACACAGCAGAAAGTAAAATAATAAATAAGTAAATAAATATGTCAGTAAGTATAACAAACCAAATTACAATAAAAACAAAAAGTATTGTAAAATTAAAAAAAAAAACCTGTCAGTTGCCACACATATTCAGTATTGTTTGCCACAATTTTCATTGTGATATTGTTCAAAAGGCTTGCGTAAAAAATCCTCTAAATTAGGTTTCATTACAATGTTCTTGCAAGTATACAAGTATTTCTTTTGCAGTAAAACCAATAGACGAAGTTTGCTTTGCGTTGAAATTGGCATTTGCATTTGAAGAGGCCTTCCAAGGGGTAAAAGCGACATGCGACACGGCCCTGAAAACTGGCGACATGGGAATTTTTAAAAAGCAAGAAGTGACATGCCTACGCTGCTAAAATGCGACAGCGACATACTAAACAGTGAAAAACGACGGTGACGTTGGAAAGTTGTGCATTTTATCAATAAAAGTGACTCAGAATACAGGAAATTGCATTTCTGAGGGTTCAGATTTTCCAAATTTTCCCGCAGGAGCCTACCCTTAAAGAACAAGAAGAAGCGTTCATCCTTCGCCGCTCACAAAGTTTTGCCAACTGACCACCATGAAAATCCTGTTATAGCCCTGTTGCAAAACAGTTTCTCGCAAAACAAAAATTACTGGTACAGTTATGTACACTTCAAAAAACGACAGCGACATTTGCAGCTGTAGATTAGGCGACAACGGTCTCCTAAAGCAAGCGACATTGCGACACAGCTACCCCCCTTGGAAGGCCTCTTGGAAGGGAGTCATCAAACGTGTTAAATAAAATTTGCTTGTTTGAAAGTTGTACAATTCTCTTTATGATATTTATTAAACCACCTTAAAGTTTTGGAAAAGAATTCATTTGACTCTTGACAATATAAAAAGGTGTCTTCAATTGAATCTGGATTAAGGCCGAAAGGACATTTATCATCCGAGGCTAACTTATTTCAGTAGTTCTTTCTTTGTCGTGATTATTCTGTTCACAACCTTAAAAGTGAATTGTCTAAGCTTATTATCTTTTGAGGACTTGTATATATGCACAAAACAATCACCCCAATCAGGAAGTTCTGAAAAGCTTTTTTTCCAAACCCTTACTGCGGAGGGTTCTGAAACAAGTTTCTCAATATAACATAAATTCCTCACGTGTTATACTATCTAATATATAGCCAACATGCTAAATAACCTTCCTTAAGGTTGCTACTTTTTGAAGTTGCCCTCAGTGCCGAAGTTTCTCTTGTGGTTTTCATTGCGGTAAATTAAACAAACTCCTGTGTAGCTATAGAGATACTGTCTGTTCTCCGCTTGTGACCGTTCAACACTGCGAGGTCACCCATCCTGGATGGAAACCACGTCTTCAGATTCCGTGCACTGAGATGAAAATGAACACTCACCAGCTGCACTGGTTGCAGGATTTACAGCAGGCAGCTTACTGATAGTTTGGACTTCCTGAATGAGCTTCTTTTCTGGTTCTGGAGACTTTGACACCGCCAACAGGATTCCGTGAAAACATGATATCTTCTCCTTTAACATAACTTCCAAAATACTTAGTTGCATGCCTAGGTAGCGCCCCTGTATCAACATCTTTGTTGCATGATGCGTCAAGAAACATGAACTCTGCCTCATAGTCATCACCATTAGCAGCTTTAACCTAAAGGGTCTCCATCTGGGCATAGGAGCTGACGCTTTCCTGATTAAAGCGCTGATCGATAGCACTGATGATAAGATCAATAGCCTCACAACAGACCCTTCTAAATTGATCCTTCGCGGTTTGGGGGTAGCTTGGTCCAGTCTGGTCAAAGTGCATCGCTATCTTGGAAACGTTGGTTCACCAATGCAAGCAAGCCTTCACTCTTGCGGGAAACATTAGCATAGTAATGGTCGAAGCTCTGATCACTAGTGGGCATTTTTGTGAGCATCTCCTTTGTTAGATTTGCCAGGCGCTGTCCACTGACCAAGATGCAAACTAAAGAAAAAGTCAAATCGTTCCATTCAGGCCTTACCGTACATCCTATTATCCTTGCACGCAGATCGGGTTGTAATCTTTCGGACAAGAAAACATCCCACTCTTCCATAACAACAGCATAGTTCTCAAGAATTTGTCAAAAACAACCGGCTCTAATCATCCACCTTTTAGGGCAAATTCCATTTAATTTTTTAGAATTATTTCCATGTCAACTGGAGCAGCGTGCCAGGGCTAGTGGATTTTGCAATCGGGCTAGTGAATCATGTTCTTAACTTGCCCAAAGGGCAATTGAAGTTTTTGGGGAAATTCAAATTACAGAAGAACCTTAATCAATGCTGCTCATCAAAATTTTTTGAGGGCTACTTAAAAGACTCTTGGGCTAGTACGTAACTAGCAACAACTTGCCCAAATGGCAAGCCGTAAACCTGACTTTCTTTGCACCCTGGTGGAGCTCTAGATAATAAATCCTAGCAAAAAAGTGGTAGGGCCATAGCCCTACCAGCCCCTCCCCCTCCGCAGTCACTGTGTACTAAAACTAATAGTCCGTTCTCTCCCCCATTAAGCATTGTAACTTGGCCTTTTGTGACTAGTTGTAGTGTGGCCCTAATTGAAAAGGGCTTGTTTTCTCTTATTGCAGAGCATGATGTCCAATCCTGATCTAATCAGACAAATATTTCTAAGTAACCCACAGATGCAGCAACTTATAGAGGTATCATGATTGTGAACACAAATGTTAAGAAAATAAGACTGAGGATTATTATTGTGATTGAAAAAATTACAAATTAAATAAGATGGAGAGACATAAACAGATCTCTTAAGTTTAAAAACTTATTACTTTGACAACTTATATTTATTAATCAAAAATACTTTCACTTATGCTTGCCCCAGTCTGAGATGGGAAGTTTTTCCTCATGAAAATGATGAATTTCACCCACTCCTGGTTCTTTTTCTTGTAATACTTGAACCAGCAGCAGTCAACATGTAGATGTGAAAAAGGTGACGTCTATTGTCAAATGAACTTGTTAATACACTCATGCTATCACTTTTGGTTGTTTAAAAAAGTATACTGTTCATTGAATTTACACAAGGGTATTGGTTCATAAAGTGCCACTTATCTGCTCTCATTACAGAAGAACATATGTTTGGATGACCAAAATCTAGTAGCTGCCCATCCAATAGATGAGTGAAATAGAAAAGTTTTCTTCCCTGTGTATTGGAGGTTTTTAATGTACATACTAATTAATTTATGTCTGCTGGCCAAACAGTGTCTAGCAGTACACACTGTTATTTAAAGTATCCGTTAACTTACTCATAAGACAGTTTTATGCATTTATGTTGTCACAAATATATAGTTGCTATCTGATGGAAATTCTTTATTGAAACCAAGTGCTATTTTTTATCAACAGAGGAATCCCGAAATATCTCATATCTTAAACAACCCAGACTTGATGAGACAGGTACATGTATGCTTTGTTATTAAGTTACAACAACGTGTTTTCCATATTCCTCAGATTTGCTCATTGTATTGTTCCTTGGTATAAGTAAAGACTAGATAGGCATAAGTAATGTGTGTGTAAACTTCATGTTACCTTAGACAATGGAGATGGTGCGTAATCCTTCCTTGATGCAAGAAATGATGAGAACACATGACAGAGCTCTAAGTAACTTAGAGGTATGTTGTTTTAGATTACAATTAGTACAGATGATAACAAAAGTTAGCCTTTCCATAAGCTGAGAAATCCTTTACGTGAACCCTGCCTTTTTCAAGAAACAAAACAGACTAATTTTCATCTTGGAGATATGTACAATAATGTTGCTGTCAGATGAACTTGACTATCCTAATGGGGCGCAAACTTGACATGCTTTGCTGCCAAACATTTGAAGTTTGACAGCCGTTAAACGAACTGTCATGCTAAAAGTTGAAGCCATTGGCACCTTTTGCACAAATGTTCCTTAGACAAATTTTTCCCGAATTTAAGAAAAATGTTTCATTCAGAAACCGCAAAGTTCCTTTCAAGAATTACTCCTTGGAGTTTCACTGCTTAACATTTAAAATTACACAAATCAGCTTACATGCTTCAAGCCACCAACTAGTGAAATACTTTGCACAAGACTGTCAAACTTTCAAATTTAATGTCAACTCTTAGGTGAAAATGATGGTATTTGATTCATTTGATAAAGAATAATAAATTACAGACACCGTAACCAGTTGAGAGCTAGGGGCGGATCCAGGATTTTTTTTAGGAGGGGGTGCAGTCGTCTCTTGCTCCACTTCAACACCAATAAACCACATAGGTTTTTTTTTTTTTTTTTTTTTGCAGAATACCGGTTGTATTAGAAAACCGCAGGTCATCTCAGGGGGGGGGGGTGTGTACCCCCTGCACCCTCCCCCTATATCCGCCCCTGAGAGCTCAAGACTTGGGGGCAAAATCTTTCAAGTTACCCATTGCAAGTGATTTAATATTGTGTCTGAAAATAATTATATGAAGGTTGAAGAGAGTAATATTGTTTCAGTGTATATGTTGTGGTTCAATTTTATCCTTGGTTTAAATTTTATTTCCCCTTGTTTTAAACTCATTATCGTACATTACCATACCCCAAAACAAAGGAAAATAAAATTTAAACCAAGGATAAAATTGAACCACAACATGTCAGGGTTTGCAAATTTTATTGATGAGTGGAGTCACTGTGACTTCTGCTTCACAAATTTTGGAGTCATTTAGGAATATTTGGAGTCAAGTATCACAACGAAAAAAGCCATTTTCAGACTTTCGAGCACGTAGTCCTCTCGTGTATACACTATCGTGATGGATACACGAAGTAGCTGTGGCGGTCCGCTGACCTGGAAAGCTCAAATCCATGATGGCGGTCATCCAATAAACTTTGATCGTAATTAACCCTCTTCCTATTTGGTCGTGCAGTATAATTCTTTAATTTCGATGATTTAATTAAGGTTTACAACGTTTACAATTAACGTAAATTTGATTTGTTGCGAAAATGGTAAGGACAAAACTGTGTTTTTTACCGAAAATTTCTGCAGTCGAAGTGGCTCCCTGTTTGTTACCGAAAATTTCTCGCGTCGAAGTGACTCCCTCCGTAACCTCTGTGGAGTCATCTGAACAATGTTGGCGTAAAATACGTGAAATTTGGCGTATTTGCGAACCCTGACATGTACATACAAAGTGACCTCAAAAGTATTAATTTGCATTATACCAACTCTCCCAGATACAGCATCAATCACCCTCTCTCCCGTACGGGTCACCAAATCTCCTGGATAAAATCAAAATAATTTTGACCTTTTCTATACTTTAGTTTGATGTTTAGCCCATTTTTTTCCTGAAAAATCAAATTCCATAGTACAGTTTCTGGGGCTTTTTTGCACATACTGTATTTACTCACCGACAAAGATTATTTCATCATTAATGAGAGCAAATTTTGATGAAATGTTTGTCATGTAAGACTTCATGTAATGTCTTAAGCCATTCAGGGACTGGGTTGATTTGTGTGGGAAAGTAGGGGCATTGACATTTGAGGGGGCGGGGGGTGGGGGGGGCGTGTAAAGTAGAGAGTTCAGATTTTAGATCGCGAGAGGTTGGCATCTCTACATGCAAAGGGAAACCATTAAATGTAGAATTTACTGAGGGCTTAATTCCCATTTGAAAATGGGCATGGAGCAGTATTAAAACTTTACTTGTGCAAAGTTAGATCTTAAGGTGTCAAGACAAGACAAGACAAGACAAGACAATGTTTTATTTGGAGTCTTATACAGTCCTATGTATATCGACTTTATCCAAATAATTTAAAATCATGACACAAATTGCACACTAGTGGAACTATAGTCAATGTTAACCTAAACAACTAATGATCTTCTTTTCTCATAGCAGTCGAATACGTATTTTGCAATTAACTTTTGCACTGGTTTGTTCTTGCTCGTCATCCACCCTTCAGGTTCACATGGATCATGCTAGCACTTGTATCTTCAATAATTACCCCTACAAACCGTATGTTTTGTGAAAACTCAATAGTTCCAGTTGTGCCTAATTAATTCTTTAAAGAAAGCAAAATGCTAATATGTTTGAGAAATAAAGAGCTTTCTGTGAAGGACCACATTCACTTCTGTCTGATTAAAAAAATGTGTTTCAGATTTTTGACAAGTGCTGTTGTTCTTTTGCTATAAGCAGATGAGGTTAGGTATAACACATCACAAGGATAAACTCTGAAAAATATTATAACTCAAAAACTCAACAAACAACATCTTTCTTCTCTTTTTTGGAGGCATGTGCAACCAATTGAATTAACAATTAGTATTGAAGAATCTATGCACTCCATAAGTTTCTGCAGAAATAACATTTTTTACACTAATTTTTTGTAAAAGGAAGTCCTGAACTAGCTCTATCTTATCATTTAAAAGATGCATATTCCAAAATAAATGAATTTTTTCTCTGGATGATACCTTAACAATGATGGCAAATCCTTGGTCCATTTTCCTTTTAAACAATTACCAACATTGATTTGAAAAAGGTTGTCAAACATTTAAATTGAAGGCTCACCAGAAGAAATTCAAACTCTTTGTTTTGTTTCTGTGTCCCTAACATGCATGTAGTGAAAAAGGCTCGTTGCATGGTTCACATGGGCCTGGAATACTCCTTGAAAAACTGCTAGGTCCTTGAAAACTCCTTGAAAATGATTTTTTCTTTAACAACTCCTTGAATTTGTAGAAGAAGTGCTTGAATTTTATTTAAAACTCCTTTAATACCTGAGACTACAGAAAAATAAAATGATTTGACATCAGAAGATTGAAGGAACTGCCAAAGAAGGCATTTGAAGTCTCAAACATAAAAAAGCTTTCTATACCAAAGTTCCATTGTGATAATACGATACCATTTAGTGAAGACCTACTCCTTGGTGTCACTATTGACAAGCTGAAATTCGATAAGCAGATTGCAAATGTGACAAGAAAGGTATCCCAACAGCTTGTAGTATTGAAACGTTTGAGAAATATTGACCTCTTGATGTAAGGAAAAACATTTATTGCCCCCCATTTTGACTACTGATCTGACGTGCGGCATTTCTGCAGCAAAACCAAATCCGATAAACTAGAAAAAGTAAACAAAAGAGCTCTGCACTTCGTGCTTAAAGACAAAAGCAGTTCTTACATGGAAGTACTTAAGAAACTAGGAACTGTCTCTTTATACGATCAAAGAATCATGAAGATTGCCAGCTGTGTCTTTAGAGGAGCTCTGTCACGTAATTCAGACAAATTAGGTAATTACAAATTGCCTGTTAAAGTAAGAGAAACGTAAAATTTAATTACCGCTTAAAACATTAAAGGAAGGTTAAAATAACACAACAGATACAACAGATGCCACAGATGGGCAAACCTGAAGCGAATGAGGGCGAGTAAATGGCAAAATTAAACAAAATGAACTGGACTGCCCTGACACAGCCCCTTTAAGGTGCTACACGTTGACATTCCCTCAACCCTAAAGGATTTACTACTGCAAAGATCAACAGCCTATAATCTTCATGGTAAAGACATTCTTACATTACCCAAGGTCAACTCTACAAAGCAAGGTTTGAGATCTTGACAATACCTGGCCCGGAAGATATGGAATTCATTACCGGAAGCATTGAGACATGATACAAACTAAGTAGCTTTAAAAGATGCTTGAAAAAAATTGACGTTACTCAGTTATATTGATCTGTAAATAGTTTTATTATAATTACCCGGTATTATTGAACTGTACTTAGTTTTATATTTTATTACTGACATATTCACATTTTTTTATATCATGCTTAGATATTTTATGTTGTATCTTCTTGCTTTTGTTTTCCTCTTTTCGCTATTTTTATTTGTGGCAATACCTGCAAAATAGCGATACTTGCAATACTGTAAGGAGCTAAGCGTATTTTGACCATATTAATAAAAGTTACTTACTTACTTGCTTACTTCCTTACACCAGGACAATTCAGTGTTTCTTATTCAAAGTACCGTTCTAAGTAACCACGCCTTTAATGGGGTTTCCCAAGTGTATTCTTGAGCACCCCTCTAAACAAACAAAACTGTGAGGGAAATAAAGCTTGAAAGGGCTTTAGAAGTGAAATCTATTCAATTTTGAAATAGCAACAACAACAACAAAACTTTGTTAAAGAGCAGATAAGATAACAGAAGGAGTACCTGCAGCTAGTAAGGCTACTCAAGGTGGACAGTATGTGCAAAAAAGAAATCAGAATTAAGGCTGACTAAGGAAAGAAAGAGAATTAAACTGAATTTGCTTTTTAAGCTCTCATATCTGAGTTTAAGTTTCGCACTAACCCTGTGTTATCTTAACTCAGCTTCAAACAACCCGGCCCAGATGTCTGAAGGAAAGAAAAAGAAAAGTGAATCTATAGTACGAGGATTGACTCAGCTATGCGCAGCGGTTCTCGTTTTCATTAATGTACATCAATACCCAATTTCGCACAAAACATAGCCTTAATCTAGGATTAAAACAGTAGATTGCCGGTACTGTTAAACTGAAGCATTCAAAATAGCTCATGCACGTAAAACGTGCCTATGTTTTTTCATATGTAAATGATGACGTTCACGGGCTTGTTAGCATGAGAATACCATGATTTCCACATGAAAAGCAGGAAGGTTTGTAACAAAACAAGGTCACTGCCAGCCTCACTTCTATTCAAAGGCCCGGGCACTAAGCACACAACTGCAAAATGGCCTATCATTTTACTTTAAGGCTGACAAAACACCAATTTCACCCCAGTCGTTTTGTTTTTCTCTTCAACTGCAGAGCTTACCTGGAGGTTTCAATGCATTACAGAGAATGTACACTGACATTCAAGAACCAATGTTAAATGCTACACAAGAACAGGTATAATACAGAGGACTTCTTTGTTGGATAGTTTTTATCATTTCCATAGTGACTTGTTTTGTAATCATACAAGTGTGGAGTGCAGACATAAGGCTTCCTTTGTGTTTGGAATAGCTGCTGAATTCCATCACTTAGAACTAAATATAAGCCTATTACACTAGGCTCCAATGTCACTATATAGTCCACAAGATTTTGTTCAAAATAGTTACTTAATAGCTTAGTGAATTATCTGTTAGGTAATATTAATTATTTCCCTTCTACTCCTCATTACCTGAAAGTTTTTTTTTTTTGGAAGAATTAAGGCATTAAAGTCCCTAAACATTAACTTGTATTAATTTTGTATTATTGTACAAAATCCACTTTCTGTAGATGCGACAGGCACAGAACAATCCATTCTCTGCCCTCTTTGGTGGAAGCTCAGGTAAACCCTTGTTTCTTGTTACTACTAGTATACGTAGTTTGTAACAAATTATTTTGAAGACAAGGTTAACTATTATCATTATCGCACTTTGTTGCACAAGGTTGATTCCCAAATCCTTTCCTGTACATATCAGGTTCTGTTAGCTACGACAAATATCTTGCAAACCTAGATAAAATACACGGTTCCGATTTCCTAAAGAGGTTACACCAGTGTACAAAAATGATAGAGAATTGTGAAAAAGTGTTACCAGCTCTATAGATGGCCCATCAGTGCAGCTTTGCTCACCTATTAGTTAAGATTGCTGCATAACTGAGGCCATTCCTCCACCCTTCCAGCCATCAGAACTGAACATTGTAAACGTTGCTTCATAAACAGATGTCTTTCAGTTTTAGGTGATCCCTTCTTATCAAGTAGTTTTTCGTGGTTGTGATAATGTATATACACTGTTTAGTTGGAATATTTTGTGGCAGAGAATTTTTTGTTTGGAATTTAATAAAGAGCAAGTTAGACTTGGATGTTGAAAAAGGACATGCAAGCATTTGTTTATAAGGCATTGAGAACGCTATTTAATTTTGTTTTTTGGTAGTTCTCTTAGTAAGAATGCATTTAACCTTGAAAATAGTTTTTTCAATCTAAATGGATTGTTTTAATTGAAATGAAATGTTTTTGATTCCAATAATTTTTTAATGAAATGAATTTTTTCAAATCAAAACTAAGTGTTTTTTAATGAAGGGAATTGTAAATAGTGTTTTGACGGAATAGTTTTTTTAATTTAATTTTTGTAAATAGGGTTTTAATAGCAGCATTGTTATTTATTACTATAATAATCAGGAACGGTCAGTGGTCGGCAAAGATGGCAGATGTGTTTTGCTTAGTGCGTCTGATATGTCTTCCGTTCACTGCTTAATGCAGATTCTTACAGCGTTTTTCTTTATTTTTTGGTGTCTCTGTGTGTCCGTTTATTGCCCCCTCAAGGATTTTGCCCAGAAGGCGAAATCCCGAGGAGGCACCCTAGTAATTCGCGCGTATATTAAGGAAAGTACTTACAGCTGAAATATACAGTCAGTATGCCAGAAAAAATCTCGATTTGCTTGAATAGAGGCCGCGAGGAATCGGTAGGTAATGATGATGTTTCTATTGTTTGCGCCCGCAAGTACGGAATGGTTAGGATGATGTAAAGACAGAAAATCCCGAAGGGACCCCTTAGGTAGATTTTGTGACATTTATTGTGCAGTCATCCTTCGATACTCTTTTGCGTTACGTGTTATCATTGACATTCTGTGGAGCAGTTGTTTTGAAAGTTATGGACCAAAAGACACTCGTTAAGCGCAGATGAAGTTATGAGGTGCGTATAACTGTATATATATATATTTTGCACAGATCCCACCACGGATATTTACCAGGGTATGCCTGCTCTAAGGTGTCACGAGCGTAGATAGCACGAAGAATGCACTTGCTTGCTGACCTATTCTCTGCTCACAGATGTCCTTCCGCTATAAAGTTTAAAATAAGACTAGAATGTGCGAGCGTGAATTGATCAAACGTCCTTTTAATTTATAAGGCTTACTTTCCGGCAAATAAAATTAACTGAATGTAAAAAGTGAATGAGAAATAGCGAAAAATTCAACTTCTAATTAAATCTTTTCTTATGGTTTAGAATAAACTATTCTCGAACTGAGAATGTTTTGATCAAATCCGTGTAAATCGAACAGAAACTGTGCGTGGAACCTTGCCTTTCCTGTATTTATCTCACCTATTGTATGGAATATGTGTGAAAATCTTCATTATGAATCGGACAGGTATATTTCAAAGAGCTACTCAACGAACAAGAATACTATTGGCTGACAATAAACGGAGCAGGGGCAGCTGTAGTGTCAACTATTACTAATGTAACAAGCAAAATGCCATCAAACGACAAGCACTCTTTGAAGGACTTGTCCTAGAGTCGCTGCTTGATAGCAAACTCAAGACGATTCATTACAGGCTAGACGACCTATTCAAAAAAGTTGATGACAACTACAAGTCTATTAATCTTTACTGATATATTGATGGTCTATACTTATTTATTTTGTTTTGTTTAGTTCTGTATATTTACTTTTGTACCAAGTTTATGATATTTATTTGTACCAATGTATTTGTTGTGCCTCTTTCCTGACTTTCACATTTTTAATGATCATTATGTAATTACGGTTACCCAACAAGTTTTGCTTTTTAGTTATTTTGGATGTCCCACTACTGTATGTACTGTTTATTTACTTCTTTATAATTATATTTTTGTAAAATTCTTTGAGTTGTCTACAATAGTAGAAATGAAGTGTTGTTGTTGTTATAATAATATCAATAATAATAATAATTAGATGCAAATGTTTCTTCCTCTATATTGGCTGAGACCCTACCACGTGACCTTTAAATAATTGCCTATTAACTTGTCGATAAGAAATAATGAAAATGGAGGGTAGGTGTCAATTATGAGCAATGCAAGCAATAAGCAAATGAATTTGGGCGAAATGCAAATAAACTGGGGGTTACCTTGGCAACCTCCCACAGGTCACCTCCCATGAAATAGGAACTCCAAGCTAGACTGTAAGTGCTTGGCGAAAGGAGGACCCAATGGGAGGCAGCCATGGGGCCCGACCCTCCAAACAAAGAATCTCCAAGCGTGAGGCACCACCCTCCAGGCAAGGCAAGATAGCCAGGAAATGCGAGTTGGCAGGAAAGGTAATAGGTAACAGCTAAAGAAACCAAGGCAACCGACAAAGGCAAACAGATGCTACCAAAACGCTAGCAGTGGCAAAAAAGGCAATTAGCATCACTAAATGAAAATACACTCACCAAACTAATCCACCATTGATTTGGCAGCCCGAGTTATGAGGTTAGGAGGAGTTCGAATATTTTGATTGTAAGCATCACTTTTCCAATGGCCCAAAACTTGAATGAGGTGATCCAGAATACCAGCCCTTGCAGCAGAAGTGGCTGCCCCAATTTGGCCACTGTGACTTGAAGAATCGCCAGGCAGAGCAGCAGATAGAAGAATAGCTCTTAATCTGTCTCTAAGTAAAGAGCAAGACAAAGGAAGGCTATTCTCAAAAAGGAACAGGGGGTCAGGACGGTTACCCCGACGCTTAAGGAAGGAGACAATTGCTTGAACTGCGCACAAAGGAGAACCAGGCCCAATCAAAATGATGCACCTTTTGCGGAATGGGTCAGTTTTAGAAGCTTTGATACAGATTTGGAGGCAAGATGGATTAAGAGGAACATCCACAGCAATATCACGCACAGATAGATGACGGTTAGGGTCGAAGGCTGAAAGGCTGGGGACGGTGAATTCCGCTGACCTCAAAAAACCAAAATAAACTAGTAAACAGGCAGCCCAAAACATATGATCATCAAATTGGTTGACGTGGATTAACAGATGAAGAGCCCTGTGAACGCTTGATTCCTCTAACAACTCTTTGAAGCCGAAGGCAGTTCTCCAATGGGTCAGGGAATCCTTGATCCACATGAAGAGAGCATACCACAGATAGATAACACCTTAATAGAAGAGTGCGCAAGGAATCAGCCAAGAATGTGGCAAAAAGACGCAGGATCCATTCAGTGGCCAGACATGGGGAGTCAGAGGAGCTGACATAACCAATCATGACACAGAAATTTATGAACTTTTGCTGAGCACAAGAGTAGGTGAGGAGAGTTGAAGCAGCTAAGCCTTGGTACATGAGGGAAAGGCAGCAAGCTTCTAGATCACTATGGAAAGCTGAGCTAAAAGCTATGGAGAAATGAGGACTGGAGACTTTTTGGCAGATGGTGCTTGAGAATGAAATTCCTGCAAATTGAAGCGAGGAATGGCATCAACTATGCCATTAGATTTTCCTGAAACATGAACAGCCACAAAGGTACACTGAGGCAGACTACTACTTTAAGTAAGCTACACAGCAAGTGCATAATGTTTGGGTCTTTTGAAGTGTGTGAATGGGCCATTTGCACTAAGAGGTCATGTGACATCATTTTTATGAAAATAAAAGTTATATGATTTTGCCTTTAAAGAACCATAAGTGGGTCGTATCTTAAAAAAAATAATAGTGATTTAGTTTATCAAACCCGCACCATTTTCTTAAAATGAGTCAGTTCGTAGCTGGTCACGTGACCAAAATGTGATTTTTAAGACTATGAATTACCTCTTTCTGAACAGAAATTCTGCTCTTAAACTTCAAGGAAATTGTTGAAAAGATGATCTGGTAACGTTTTCAGCACATCTAAACCTAACTATCAAATGTTTAACATGTTGGCGGCCAATGCAAATCATACTACGTTGTTGATAAATCAAAGTGCCATAAAATATCTCCCTTAAATGCGTTTCCTTTCAAATTTCGGGTGTAAGATAATTGTTTTGCCCTGCGTCAATTTTTGGCATCAGCAAGATTCCAACTCATTGTTTAAAGGAAGCATTGGTCATGTGACCTCTTAGTACAAGTGGCATATTGAGAATGTGAACCACTGTTTCGTTATCAACATGAAACAGAATATGCCTGTGAGGGCCCCAGACATGGGCAGCCAAAACAACAGGGAAGAGTTCCTTGTAAGCAATTGACAGAGGGAGCTGAAGAGGAGACCATCGGCCATTAAACCATTCATTGTCTATAAATGCACGATAACCAATTTGACAAAACAAAGCTCCTTTGTGTGGGCGTGCCACAACTCATGAGGACATTATCCTCCCCCTTACCAAGTGCAACAATGCTGGGAACTGAAATCAAGCCTGTAACAATTGCAAAGGGTCTGGGAGTGTATATATATATTTATTGCCCCCGCGGGTATCTCGCCTAGAGGTGAAATCCCGAGGAGGCACCCTAGTAACTCGCGCGTATATTAAGGACAGTAGTTACAGTTCAAATATACGGTCAGTATACTAGAAAAATCTCCATTTGCTCGAACAGGGGCCGCGAGGAATCGGTAGGTAATGATGATGTTTCTATTGTTTGCGCCCGCAAGTACGAAATGGTTAGGATGACAGAAAATCCCGAAGGGACCGCTCAGGTAGATTTTGTGACATTTATTGTGCAGTCATACTTCGATACCCTTTTGCGTTACGCAGTGACATTCTGTGGAGCAGTTGTTTTGAAAGTTATGGACCAAACGACACTCGTTAAGCGCAGATGAGGTTATAAGGTGCGTTTAACTATGTATATGCAAACACTTGGACAGTTTGCCAGACACGAGTTCACAAATCTTCGATTTATATTGGAAACCTTGCCAGACACTCTTTCTCTCTCTTTGACCAGAATAAGACTCAGCCCCAAAACAGCAAGACGAATGAACAACGGCTAGCTTATCACTAGCAGATTGATGGACAATTACAGAAATTCGCCGACAATCAAATTCTGTGCTGACTTATTCCCTGCTCACAGATGTCCTTCCGTTATAAAGTTTCAAATAAGACTAGAAGGCGCGAGCGTGAATCGATCAAACGTCCTTTGAATTTCTAAGGCTTACTTTCCGGCAAATAAAATGAACTGATGTAAAAAGTGAAAGAGAAATAGCGAAAAATTCAACTTCTAACTAAATCTTTTCTTATGATAGAGAATAAACTATTCTCGAAACTGAGAATGCTTTGATCGAAGCTGTGTAAATCGAGCTGAAACTGTGCATGGAACCTTGCGTTTCCTGTATTTATCTCACCTATTTTATGGAATATGTGTGAAAATCTTCATTATGAATCGGTATATTTCAAAGAACTACACAACCAGCAAGAATACTATTGACCGACAATATACAGAACGGGGGCAGCTATAGTGTCAACTATTACTAGTTATATACACACTCAGTGATCTTGGTGATTTAAGCAATCTGATTGGTTCGCTATCTCGGACTATTCAACAATATTCACCTCCTAGCGAGTGGATAATGTGTGAGCTCGGTGTTTTTCCCATTTTTTTAGAGAACGATCTGACTTTTTTTAAGGCAAGAAAAGACTTGGATGGATTCAATACGGCGTTTTTCAATTTACTGTAGCTGAGTTTTTTGCTCGATGGTTTGTGTAGAATTCCCGTGTATTCGCGGAGAAGAAGCCGTTTCCTGAACTCGGTGTATTCTATCAAGAAAATTTTCGCTCAAAAATCGAAGTTTTATTTATGACAAACAAATTTAAGAGGAAATGTTTGCAGAAGTTCTACGTTTCAAGTAAACAGGAAAAAGAATGATACAGGAAGACGACGTCTTACCTCGAGCAACCGAGCCGCCATTTTTGTCAGCACTTCATGGGAAGAACGACACAACAAACCCTTTTGGCTAAAAACTTGGCGAGTCAACAGAAAACAACAAAGCTCCACTTTTCTTCTCAGGTAAGGAAACAGTTCAAACTTTTAGCGGTTCCATTTAAGCCATTACGCTGTTGTTTGCGAAATGATAAACTTGTGAATTGCCATGTTTGAAAATTCTGCAAAGATCTATTTTTAAACTTACGCGTTATTTGATCTGTCAATCAAATCGTACTTTTTAATGGTTTCCTCTCTGATTTTGTTGAGATCACTTCGTGTGTATATACTAAAACAGTTATTCTTTTCAATCTCGGTGAATAGTGGCTTTGGGGATATTTACCTCTCCGCTTTCGCGGCTTGGTAAATATTTAGCCACTATTCACCTCGATTTCAAAGAATAATTGTTAAATATACGATGATCGCCGCCAAACCTGCTACAGGCAGAATCGACAGACAGCCAGGATTGACAGCGATGCAGGAACCTGCATTCCAAGAATAGCAAATAACTTTGCTGGTAGTGCTACCAGAGGCCTCTGTGTGTGAGGTGACTGGATTGCCTGAAGCTTGGCGAGTACGAACTTGAATGCCAGCTGTATGGTGGTTGAATAGCTGGACGTTCATTCACAGTAAGCGGCCAGTCCAGGGATATTTCATTTTAAAAACGCCATCCTACAGATAGGTGATTCTGAGGTTTTGTCAGTGTGAAGTGTGATACAGTTAGTTCTTAACGCCTGTTCTTGTGCACTGCAGATCAACCCTTGAGGTCCCCCTTCCGCAACCACTCCCATGTTTTCTCCCAATTGACTCCTGCCATGTCCCTGACATATTGTCCATGCATTTGTTTTTCTTTCCATTTGTTTCCCATTTCTCTCTTTTCACTCGTCTTATACTCCTTTGGATCCTTTGCCTCATCTACTTTCACTGTTCCTTTTTCACCTATTTTCCGGAGCAACACCTCCTCGGAATTCCTTACATACCAGCTTAAATTGTTTCTTCCCCACAGACATAAGTCCTCTTTCCCCTTTCTTCCTTGATAGATATATTCTTGCAGTATCACTTCTCGGGTGCAGTTCCTTATTCATTGTCATCATCTTCCTGGTCGCCCTGTCCATGTTGTGGAGTTCATTCTTTGTCCATGTAATCACTATTATTATTATTATGTCGCAGTATGAAACTTTGGAATGCTGTCCACATTATGAGTAGTATAGGGCGCATAGCGTAACCTACACCACTTGAGAAGCTATACTTAGAAGTAAAAAAAGGTCGATACGAAACCTAATACAATCCTAAAATACATAGTGCTATAAATCTCTCTACTTAAAAAGCCAATTTAGAATATTATTAAATTCTGATACTCTGTAAAACCTTCGCTATCTCTACTAAAAGCTTATACATAGTGATATAAATCTCTCTACTTAAAAAGCCAATTTAGAATATTATTAAATTCTGATACTCTGTAAAACCTTCGCTATCTCTACTAAAAACATATTTATAATAATATCACACTCTAATGTTCTAAAAAATCTAAGTAAAACGTCAGCAAGCTTGTGTTTCTAGATTTCTAGAGAAGAAACAAAAACCTAAAAACTGAAGTCCATAGCGCCCTAACTAAGTATTTATCTTAAATGTTCTGGCATTGTTTAAAGTGTTTGAGATGACCGACTTCTGCATTCGCTCAAGTACGCTCCGTGCTCTCGCTCCAAGTAGCTTCCTCACCGACTTCTCTAGGTGTTTAGAGTAACCCCCCAGTACGTCAATTGTTACGTTGTACTGTTCAACCCTGTAACCATTGTATCTCTGCTTCAGCTCCCACATCATGGGCCCATACTTGAGTGTCTTTTTCTCATCTTTCTTAGCTCTACTCTCAATCCATGAGCAGCTCATTTCAATTGTGCAGACTTCTTTCCTCTCGTGGTTGACAAGTCGCGCGTCGATCCGATTTGCTCTAACTTCGTTGTGCTCTGCATAGATGGGAATAACTTTCCTTGCCACTATTTGTCTTTAGCGATCTCCAAGAACTGCTTCTCTTGAGATTGCTTCAGCAGATTCCTAGCTCTTGCTGCAGTTACCACCTTTCCATCTGTTGTAACACACACGAGATTTAGGGTATCAAGCTGAAGGGTGATGTTGAGTTCTTCAGCGTACTTAGCTGCTTCCTTTACGAGCGACTGGTGGCCTGATGCCATGGCGTGTTCTTCAAATTCTCTAACTGCTTCCACAGTCGGGTCCGGGTTCTGATACAGTTTCAGTAGCGATTTGATTTTAGTGATCTTGTACTCGTGTTTGACTGATCGCAGGCCTCTACTCCCTTTCTCCCTCGGTAGATATAACACAGAAGTCAGGCTAGCTGGGTGCTTGCCACCGTTCTCAACTATGATCTTCCGAGCTGCTCTGTCCACATCTCTTAACTCTGATAGAGGCCAATGCTGTGTCCACATTAGGTACCGCAGGACTGGGAGTGCATACTGATTAGATGCCTGCACACGGTTACAATCAGACAGGGGGCTGGACCATATAATAGATATCCTGCGTAGATACTCTTTAGCCGCGCAAGCTAGGGCCAGCCGTTCATCCTGTCGAACGTTCTCTAGCACCCCCAGGAATTTATAGTGTTTTCCTTCCCCAAGAGCCGTGATGGTAGTTGTCTCGTCCATCCTCATACCAGACTCGTCTAGCACTTGGGCTCCCCTCTTCACGTGTACCACTGAGCACTTTTTCTGATTCCAGTGGAGGCCGATGTCCTGCATCGCTCCTCTAGTCTCTTTCAGCACTCGATTCAGCTTGCTCTTGGAGGCAGCAAAAACCTTGAGGTCGTCGATATACAGGAGATCGGTGACTTTGACTCCTATAGACTTGGATAACCGGTATCCCTCTGTTGCCCGCAGGCGCCACGCTACAGGGTTCAGGCACAGTGTAAACAGTCTAGGACACAAAGCGTCCCCCTGGGGTAGACCCTTCATGAACCTTATTTTTCTAGGTCTCTCGCCCTTGCCTTGTTGTAGCTACTACCTTAGTATTCCAGCTCGCACACAACTTGCGTATAACCTCACCCAGCCAGACGGGAAGCCTGTGTACGTCAGTCATTGCGCATAACCAATCATGATCGACGGAGTCGTAGGCTTTGCGCACGTCAATCCATGCCATACTTAAATTCCGTTTGCCTCTGTGACAATCCAGCATTACTGCTCTATCGATTAGCAAGTTATCCATCGTACCGAAACACCCTGATTTCGCTCCTCTTTGCTGGCCTTCCATCAGGCCATAATGTTCAAGGTGTTGGTCCATGGGTGCCAGGAGGCAAGATGTAAACCACTTATACATGTTATTCAGACAAGTAATAGGTCTTTGATTTTCACTGAGGAACTCGCCTTCTTTCGGAATGAGGGAGGTTTTCCCTTCAGAAAACCACTAGGGGTAATCTTCGTCGCTCTTAGAAACTTCTTTGAAGTTCTCGACCACACCCTCGTGCAGGGTGCTAGCACGTTTCCACCAAAAGTTAGTGATTTTATCAGGCCCTGGCGCACTCCAGTTGCGCTTCTTGGACAGGACTTTGACCGCTTCCGCTACTTCGAGAGCCCATTCGTCGCCTGTCGGTGGTGGTACTTGCTCGTGGATAGCGAGCTTTACTTCCTGCAACCAGGCCGCGTTCTTATTCCCAGTCTCACAGCTTTCTCCAAAACCCGCTCGCCTCTTCAATGTTTTCAAACATTCGCGAATCATCTGGAGCACGTTTTCCAGGATCTTTATATCTTGGCCGCTCATTCTCTGGGTCCTTCTTCAACATCTCACTCAAATTCGCAAACACTCTTCCAGGGACCGTGTTAAACTGTTGGTTAATCACACGCGAGACCTCTTGTTTCTTTTTCCTGTCAAACCCACGTTTTAACTTTCGGAGCTCCGACTTTTTTTTCTCCATGTAGCTAATCAAACCTGCAACAGAGATGGTTTTGCATTTTTTTTGTAGGTGAGACCTATTTTTCCTTCCTTTTTTCGTGATCTTTCTATTTTCTTTCAACCTTTCGATTTCCGCTTTTGCGATTGACAGTTGTTTTCTGATCTTCGCCGCCTCCTGGTCGTAAATTCTTTTAAGCTTTTCCTTTCTGTCCGGCGGATTGTCTCTCTTTATTGGCCCTTGTTTTTTCCATCCTTTCATCAACAAAAACGCGCAAACCACCGAGTAAAGAGCGCAGTTAACTAACCACAGAAAACCAAACGGGTTCTGCGTTGGTGTTACCTCGTAGCGCTCCATTAATGACTTAATCGCTTGGTTGATTTCTTCCAAGTCTTTTGTTGATGGTGTTTCTTTTGTCCTGGTGTCAATGTCACGTTGTGAATAGTCTCCAGGGTGGGTGCTAATTGTTTCCATTATCCTGTTTGCTGGCTCTAAAAAGCTACACCTTTCTTGATCACCATTGTTAAGCTGTTGTTCTTGGGTCAAGGTTGTATGCAAATCCGGATCTGAAAAAAGATCACCATTGTTACGCTGTTGACTTTGGGTCAGGGTTGTATGCAAATTCGGTTCTTCTTGATCAGCATTTTTTGCTATTTGGCGTCCGTTGTTTAAGGCCCCTTCTGCGTTATCTCCACCTCTCTTCGCTTTTATTCCGCTAGTGATAGTACTAATTACGCTGCCTAGGGATTTTTCAAGTGGAGCGGCTGGGTCTCGTAAATTCTGCTTTGTAAACCCCAGATCTTCGTGCCCCATTTGATCCCACAGTTCTTTCATAAGTTCCATATACCCTTTTCGTCTTCCATTATCCTTAACTGGTGGATTCTCCGATTTTGCGAGTAATAGCGCTTGCCGCTTGCACTCCAACAGGTCGCTGTTCATTTGTTCGGACCATCTTATCCTTCCTGCTCTCGCATTATTATTATTATTATTATTATTATTATTATTATTATTATTATTATTATTATTATTATTACAAGTGATAGCAGTAAAAGTAAGTTATAATTATTTTACACTATAATTATAAAGCTTAAAATAATTTGATCAAGAAGGCTTAGCTTTGTCGTCTTTCTTCGTTGCCGCATATTTATACAATGAAGTCACGGTTTGAGGTTGTCCGCTATAGTGACAAGTGATTCCATTTGCTTTTGTTGAGTGGATGGAATAATAAACCCATTAATACTTTTTCAGGCTTGGTCCATGCAAGGCAATGTTTAAGAAATTTATAACTATCAATCGCGCAGCTACCGACTGAACCGTATTATTTGGGGAGCAAGGGTGGCGCAGTGGTGAGAGCACTCGCCTCCCACCAATGTGGCCCGGGTTTAAATCCCAGCGTCGACACCAAATGTGGGTTGAGTTTGTTGTTGGTTCTCTCCCTTGCTCCGAGAGGTTTTTCTCCGGGTACTCCGGTTCCTCAAAAACCAGCATTTCCAAATTCCAATTCGACCAGGAATCAGGTGCAAATCGTTATTTATTTATTTATTTATTTAACCGTATGACCGTACTATTCTCTCCCTGCTCGTAAGTTGTCTTTTCATCGTTCGGGGAAAGCATTAACACAACATTGTTCATCATTATTAGTCTCGCTTGCGTAAGCAGCGAGACTCATAATCTTCAACGCGTTTTTCGTCCCAGGGGGTAGTCCGTTATATAGGCTGTATAGGGATGTGCCGCACCAAAAGGTTTTTTTTAGCCGTTTTGGTTTGAAATAGGGTATCAATTTCGACCATTTTGGTCTGAAACAGGGTGTGCTTTGTGCCTTCTAGTCTTGAGTTGGGTATGTTTTTTAGAAGAATTAGCTACTTCTTCATCATTTGGCGAAAAGACCATTTCCGTTTTCATGTTTACGCCAACCTCCGGTCAAGCGCCGGGCTCCAGGGCTTCTGTAGAAGGCCTAAATGTAATAAACGGTCCTAAATGTAACAAAGTCCTAAATGTAATAACAATTTGCCCTAAATGTAATAAACTCTTAAGCTGCCAATTACAGTAATTACTGGAATAAGCCCCGCCCTCAAATAAGCGTCGCATTTGTGGGGTAATTAGCGCCGCGGCGCCTATTCGAGTAAATACGGTACTAAGCGGTATTGCCATGCTATTAAGCTCCGCTCTCAAATAAGCGCCGCATTTTTGGAGAAAAAGTTAATAAGCGCCGCGTACACACGCGTATAGCCTGCTACCGGAGAGGTATTTTTGGTCGTCGCTAACACGCGTACCAGATCAATTCAGAAACAAGTAACAAGTATCGACGTCGATAAAGTAGGAAGTAAAAAAACCTTTAGCGAGTAACTCAGTCTCCCCAATTAGTAAGGCTCTGTGCCTGAGCTAGAAGACATGAAACTATTAGAACTGTTATAAAGTCAAAAAATGATCATGCTCATAAAATGGCTTATTTGAAATATACTCTTAACCTGAACTCAAATTCCAAAAATGAAACATTTTTTGTTAAATTTAAGCCCAGAAAACGAAGGCCAAAGTTGGTATCTAAGAGCGCTTTTTTGGAAATATTTATAATCACAGGGCTGAAATCCGACGCGATACTTTCCGTTGTTGACAGAAATGTTGCAATTTTCACAACCCGACACGCGATAACGCGTTATAAGTTTCAAGTAAGCCAGAGCAAATTATAGCAAAATTCGCTTACATTCTGCTTCCCCAAATTAAGTTCGATTGTTTTTATATTTCTAAATCATTTCTATGTCTGTAAAAAACCTTCTACAGACACATCAAATATATGATCCTTGTAGGGAAGATGACACCCCCCAGTTTAATGATCTGTCATGCAAATTAGCACGTTGCTAAGGCTAAATCATTGTTTACGACGCCATATTGACAGCACGACACCCAACAAGTTCAAACGAAGATTTTCGTTTTTTCTCTCCACTTTCTGTGCTACAATCGGATCAGTGTCACAACAAACATTAAGAACAGCGGTTTACTCGTAAGAATTCAAGACGGCGACAAAGAAACAGCGCAGCGCCACGAAAATTAAGGGCGAATTAAGGGAAATTTTGCGGCTGTGTTGGACCGCACTGGAAACAAATCGATGTAAAAAGATGAGGATTTATAATACCGCGCTGAAACTTGCCAGGTTTACTCACATGATGTAAAGGAAAAACGCATTGCATTCCCGGCAATTCCCGGAATATTTTTGAATTTTTGCAGCAGCCTGAAGTTACAGGGCATTACCAAAAAATTCCACCTCTATATGTCAGGAAAAATGTACTGGCTACTTCCGGGAATTTAAAGGTAAATGAACAAACTAAGTATAAGTCAGTTCCGATTTTCTTGTTATTCCTAGCTGTCGAGAGAAAGCCAGAAATACAAAATTATTTAATTTTTGAGCCTTTGATTATAAATCGGAAATAACACCTTAGGTGTGAAAATTGACACCTCCCATATCAATTTTCTGAAAGCTCAGCTCTCTCTCGATAGGCCTGTGAAATTTTTATTTTGCAAAATTCTTAATCATTTGAGAAATAAATTTTTCAAATGGGTGGGTTTATAGTAGATCTAATACCTTAATAAAGTTCATTATCATTTATTATCATGTTTCTTGTAGAATTAATCGCCTCATTTTCTATCTAATCTCCAAGCAGGCGAGACCTGTGTGCCGCGGTAAGCGCGTTCTTGTTTCCATTGTTTAGGTAAGGGTAGCAAACCATTTGGCTTTTAGGGTTAGAGGAACTGCTACATGACTTCTCTCTTCAGAATGAAGAAAAAAATATGGCCGCCAAATACATCCTTTTAGTTTTTAAAGTTCTTCTCTATTAACAACGTTGAACATTTATTCCGGCAAACAAACAGTTAAGTTGAAAAAGGATTTTACAAAAGTCTCAAGAGTAGATATCCTTTTCAATTTTAACTTGCAATATCGTTCAATTTATGCAACTTTTAAACTTCTGGCTCAGTTTTCGTCTGGTTCTGCTTTGAAAATGGAATAATAATTACTCAGAGACAATACAGTGTAAAGAATTGTTGAGAAAAAAGGCAAAAACTTGCCAATTTATGTAAAGAAAACGTACCTTAAAAACGAACTAAAACATTCAAAACGCTTTGATCACGTGACTGATGACGCCATGTCCCTCGTTTGGTCATGAAAAAAATTATCACGTAGAACATTACTTTCCCGCAAATTTTCTCTGCTTTGTGATGAAAGGTTGACTCTCTACAGCCCTTGGCCTGACTTTTTCGCTCATGTTCATTACCCCTTAAATTTTAAATGTAGGACATCAACTGGTTATTTTTAAATGCCCCACACAACTTAAACCTCAAATATGCTATTTGTTTTTCACTCCTTAATGAAATCTTGTCACAGCAACTAAAAACCTAATTCGGAAGTAGTCACGTGATTGATGACGTCATCACCTTAGATGTGACATGAGAAGATATTT